AATGGATAAATATTCAACATACGTAACATTATGATCTACTATTGATTTGTAAATTTCGTAGAACGGAAATAAATCTAGATATTTCCCATATAGTTCATCAGGAGTGAACATCTCATCAAAATCAATATGCGATGCAGCCAAGCTGAGAATATACTTTCTTTTTACTTTCAATTTATCCTTCTTATTATGCTTCTCTTCTCCCCTTGGTGCACTGGAGTACATTCTGTAAATCTTACTGATATCCTCGTCCTGATTTTTCTCGGTTTGAAGTTCATGATGTTGTTTTATGTCGTTTAGCATGGAATCAAATAGTTTAAATTCGTACGATGGGTCTTTCAACTTACTTGATTCTTCTTCAAAATGGTTTCTTTTAGCATCTTTGTTTTCTAATACCGTTGAACAATGACTTTTATACTTATTTTTCAAGAATTTTAGCTCATGTTGCTGCAATAACTCCTCCTTTAGAGGTCGTTTCTTAGATGATGATATAGTCACATCAGTTGGATTTTGAGATGATGGCAACAACAGAGGATTTCTTTGGATTCTCTGAGAAATAGCCTGTTCTAGGACATCTATTTCTTCTAGGATAGACCGTTGTGATTCGAGTAAAGACATTTACTTCTACAGAGAATTTCATAACAAATTTAGTACCAATTTTTAGAAGCTTTCATGCGCATTCTTAAGGCTGAAATTTAATTTTATTTAGCTAATCAGCTATCATATCTGGTAGATACAATTCAATATGTCGGACAATAATGATAATATTCCATTATACTTATTCACTTATAACTGCAATAAGCAAAAGCTCGATTATGACATAGTTCTCCAGAAAATTATTGAATCATTACCTGATCAATTATCAACGTTGTACATTTTTGGGTTAGAAGAATTATGTTCGATTATTGATGGATGTTTTGTGGAGGATGCAAGTAATCACTTAATAAAGTTCAATAAGTTCTTTATTGAGGCGTTGAATAGAAAATATGGAACGGAAGATGCAAAGTTTCACACAATTGGTATGAACCATATTGGAGCAATTGGTATTATTGCAATTACTCCATACCCTCTGAAATTCCATAGACTTAGACTAGGCAAAAGTGGATGTGGATACGGATACTCATCAATGAAGGGTGCTGTGGGTATAAGATTGTCGTATATTCCAGAGGGAAGGCATGAATCTACAAAAAGTCTGGTGGAGATGACATTTGCTAATTTCCACTTATCCGCTTATGAAGGAGATCATTACTTCCAGAAGAGAAATAATGAAGTCACACGATTGATGAGGTCAATGGACTTTGGAGATGGCTACAGTTTATTGAAACCAAGAACCCATTGTTTTGTCATGGGAGACCTAAACTACCGTACATCTAAAAAGTATGACCCCAATTCTGCATCATCTAATCAGCTCTTGAATTTACAAGACCAAAGCAAGCTCAACCATGATAATATCGAAGAACTAGTCAAAAAGTACGATGAATTGACCGAAGGAAGACATAATGGAAATATATTTGCTGGATTTAGTGAGGCGTGTATCAATTTCAGGCCCACTTACAAATATCACTTAAACACCGCCATCTACAATCGGAAACGGTCCCCTTCGTGGTGTGATAGGATCTTGTACCAATCCACGTATAAAAATAACTTGCCTCTGGTATTGTCTCGTAAAAAGGAATCATTTCCTGTATTGCCCCAAATACATGAATATGGTTCCATACAGTCTGTACTATCGTCAGATCATCAACCAGTCTATTTATCAATAACCGTTCCCACAACTCCTCCTGAATCCATTATATCGCCACATGGATATCTACAAGTGCTTCCCAGCGAAACTCCGAATAATCATTTTCGTCACGATACAAACGACCAAGGAATGGATGTTTCTGACGAATCGATCATTGGCGTAACTCAAATATACATGAAATCTACTGTACTCGACAAACTTATCCAAGGATATATCAGAAGATTGAGTGACTTTTCAATTGGCCAGGGTCTTTGGTTCAGCTCTACTCCAAAAGGAAGGTTAGCTTTATTACTCATAGCTTTATTTTGCTGGGGTGTATATTACGTTATATAATTAACTGAATAGTTTTGTCTCTCTTATACATCACTTGAAATAGATTTTCACAAATAAACATTACTGCCAATGAAAAACTCGTATTATCGTAACGTATTTTCCAGTAAAGACCAACGGTCTGTTCTAAATTTGACGCCTGGCACCGTGTTCTAGTACATAGTGGAATACATTCGGCCTTCGTGTGGCGCGCATCCCTTTATTACCCTCGCTATCCTTTAATTACCGATCGAATGCGAAGTAAGCAACAAATATATCCGTACGACTAGATTAAGGTTTATTGTGATTTGGTTAATTTCAGAATGGAGAGGAGTGATGAAGTTATAACCGTTTAGATTAGATTAGATTATGCTAGTTTATCTTCATTTACTTTAGAGAGGTGTTTTTTGTAAAGTTTTTAGTTTAATTTTTATTTTTTGTAGAATTACCAATAAGCCCAAGTATTAAAAACATAAGTATACTTATGCATTTAAACACTTATTGGTTGTGACAGTGATATATATATATATATATATATTGTGTATATTTTGTATATGTGTGTTTGATTTACTTAACATTTGGATTTGTTGTTGAGTTATAGCACAGATATTCGCCCATGTAATATTCATATACTTAAAACATACAAATTTTAATCGTCTACCGAAAACGGAATAGGATATAGTATGATATCCCAGAAACATGTGTCTGCTGTTAAGAATAATTATATTATACTATACATTTAGCTATTTCTTTTTATTGTTAATTTAACTACAAAATACAACAATTGAGGATTATTGCAGAAATTAGTTACTTTTAACAGCATCCCGCAGATTCTTCAATATGGAGCGGCCTACAAATTTAGAAAACTATATTATATTAAGTCAAATTAAACCAGCTTGTTTGCTTGCATTAATTTGCAATCTGACTATACTTACTATATCCGTCATTCTATAGGCCGGGATAGTTTCCCTTAAAAAACTGAAAAAGAAAAAACAAAGTCGCAGACCTGCATTAACGATAGTGCCATACAGATAGACCTTTTCAAACAGGATATGCCTAAGAGGTTTTTTCAAAAAATTCGTTGGAGATATTTCATGTATTACTTCTTCTATAGGGTAGTCAAATAGACATGTCAGATAAGGATGATGCTAGAAGCGTCGTCGAAAGTGCTATTGGTGGATCCAGTTCTAATGACACTGGGTCAAATGAAAGGGCATCATCGAGATGGCAAAATTTCAGAGATTCCTTCAAGAGACCAGAAGAGGAGAAAGAAATAGAATATGACCAAAATGATAATTTGAATGACATAGAGAAGGCCAATATTGGTGCTTCAAAGTCACCATTAATGAGAGACTTGAAAAATAGACATTTGCAAATGATTGCAATTGGTGGAAGTGTGGGGACTGGTTTGTTGATCGGTAGTGGTTCGTCCTTGAGAACTGGTGGTCCAGCTGCATTACTTATAGCCTGGGGGCTTGTGGGTACTATGGTGTTTTGTACTATTCATGCATTAGGAGAAATGTGTGTTGCTTTTCCTGTTAGTGGTGCCTTTTCAAGTTATGCTACAAGATTTGTTGATCCATCATGGGGCTTTGCAGTAGGATGGAATTATGCTATTATGTGGTTAATCGTGCTTCCATTAGAATTAGTGGCTGCAGCTATGTCAATTCAATATTGGGATAGTACAATCAATCCGGTTGCATGGGTGAGCATCTTTTACATATTCATCTTCATTATAAATTTATTTGGGGTTAAGGGTTACGGTGAGGCCGAATTTTACTTAGCTATAGTCAAGATAGTCGCAATTGTTGGCTTTATAATATTGGGTATTGTATTAGTCTGTGGCGGTGGTCCAACCCACGAATTTATTGGTGGTAAAAATTTTCATAACCCAGGAGCATTTGCAAATGGGTTTAAAGGTGTTTGTACTGTCTTTGTGACAGCTTCATACAGTTTGGCAGGGTCAGAAATGGTGGGTCTTGCAGCAGCAGAAACTGCTAACCCAAAGAAAACATTACCAAAGGCCATCAAGCAAGTCTTTTGGAGAATTTTTCTTTTCTATATTTTATCGTTAATGTTCATTGGTCTCATTGTACCGTATGATTCAGACGAATTATTAGGGTCATCTGACACAGGCTCTGCATCCCCCTTTGTTATTGCAATCAAAATTGGTGGTATCAATGCATTACCTTCAATTTTCAATGCTGTGATTTTAATTTCCGTCCTTTCAGTGGGTAATTCAGCTGTTTATGGGTGTTCTCGTACAATTCAAAGTTTAGGGGCTCAAGGATTAGGACCCAAGATACTCAATTACGTTGATCGTCGTGGTAGGCCATTGGCAGGATTAGCAATTTCAGGGTTTTTTGGATTATTATGTTTCCTTAGTGCGTATGAGAATGAAGGTGAAGTATTTGCATGGTTGTTAAGTGTGAGTGGTTTAGCTACTATTTTTTCATGGTTTAGTATTGGATTGTGCCACTTAAGATTTAGGGCCGCTTTGAGATATCAAGGCAGATCCACTGATGAATTATCATTCACGTCTATCGCGGGTATTTGGGGCTCCATTTATTCCATGATTTTCCTTATAGTTGTGTTGGGTGTCCAATTCTGGGTTGCACTATTTCCAATTGGTAGCGATGGAAAGCCAAATGTAACAAGTTTCTTCCAAAATTATTTAGGGGTATTTGTTATATTGCTATTCTATGTTTGTCATAAAGTCTACTCAAGAAATTGGAAGTTCTACATCAAATTAAGCGAGATAGATTTAGATACGGGTAGACGGGAAACGGATGTTGATTTAATGAGTTATGAAATTGAAGGAGATACAAACAAAGAGGGAGTACCTATGTATTTAAGACTTTGGAGGAGTTTAGTTTAATCACTAAAACTAATTGCATTGTAAAAGTTTTTTTATCGGCTATATAATAATGAAATAATAAAATTTTTTAAATTAACTACTTGCGACTGTAGTAGCCGTACCGACACTCTTCGGCCTCTTTTTACCTTGATCTTTAGTCGCTGATCTTTTTCTTTTGGAGTTCTTAACTGGCCTTTCTTCTCCCTCGATATATACATCATTAGGTAAATCGTAAAGTTTAACATGCTTTATTTGAATAGAATGAAGCTTTTCGTCATAAGTTTGCCATCCTTTACATATATTAAAGAATTCTGAACATGGATACTGGATGTCGAGTTTCTTGTCGCTTCCTTTGTTTAGGTCAATATCCAAACCAACGAAGAGCTTCGTAAGATGAACCTCTATAGAATGCTTTCCTTCTTTTTCTTCCTCTTTATCTACTGTCCCGTTTTCCTCTCCCTTATTCTTTACTGGCTCTGAAAGATCTTTAGTGATACTTTCGCCTTGGAGTGTTCCATATGTGTTTATAACTTCTTCAGCTTGGGCTGGATTTTCGCATGCATAACTATTTTCAAAGGGCTTTACATATGGATGTGCAATCTCAATACCTTCAGTCATTTCTAGTTTCTGAATTAAGAGTCTTAATCTACTTTCAACCATTCCTCCCCATTTAAGATGATCTTCAGACGAGCCCTGCGTCGCCGCTACGATACATAAGTAAAATTTGTACTTATAGAAAAAGGTGTGTCTAGCAAGGAGATCTGACCAGGTGCTTTTATTCATGCTGATTTGGCTCATTATGTCAATGCCTCTTTTGAATTCGTCTAAAATAATTTTTTGAGTAGAGCTGGTGATATTATGAGTAGCACACATCGATGGATAAGCAGGGGTAATAACAGGCATTCTATGTTGGCGATCATGTGGGTATAACTTTGGATTCCACACTCTCACCTGTAAAGGTCCATCTTCTATCGGTTTAAGCAACACCGGTTGCGGCCAGCTCCATTGGGCGTATATATGAAAGAACTTCTCGACAATAACAGCACTCACCGCATTTGGATAAAGCTGGCATATTCTGGCCACCAACATGGCCCACGCAACACCACCCGGGAATCCAAACACATTGGCATAAATCGCTCTCTGTTGGGCCCACATTTTAATACATCTAAGGGCATGCTTGAACACCGTTGGCTTGGGGACCAACGTCAAAATCTCGTCGGTAACTCTGGTACCGTTCAACGATCTAAGGTCCTTCTCGTCAATGTTTCTGAGCAAGTTCTTGTCATCCAATTTCAAGTCTTTTGGGATCCGCGGAATGTCCAACCTGGCACATATAAGATCGATCGAGATCCCCCCAAATTCCATCTTAATGATCGGAACGTACGCATCCAGTACCAGCGCTATTTCCTCCAACTCGGGTCTCTTTCTCAAGATCTTATCGAACACCTCAAAGAAATCGCTCCTGGTGACATGTTTCGGCACCACCACCAACGTATCGATATCGGATCCTGGTCCATACACCCCTAATCGATACGACCCGAACGTAAATATCTTTCCTCCAGCATCCTTCGCCATCCCCTCGTTCATGTTTTTATTAATCGAAACGGTGTAAACAAATTCCTCCGTCAATTTCTGCAATATATGAAGCACCTCTACTCTCTTTTTAGTCGCTGCCTCGCTCTCAAACGATCCTCTAGCCTTTAATTCCTTGATCAACGAATCATTTAAACTATTCTCCTTCGGCGTGGGGTTAGCCACCGATATAGGAGGTGTAACTCCATACGCTTGATAATTCATTAGCCTCCGGTTATCAACAAAACGATTAAAAACTGCTCTACATACTTCTTTCTATCGGAATTTCCTTGAGATGGTGTACGGCGTTACCCGGAAACATATTCAACCCTTTCATGAATTTTCAACCACATAACCTATCTGACATCCCATTAACTAAGTAGCCATCACAATATTGTACCATTGTATGCATGTTATCCGTCTGAATACTCAATTCTTTCTATAGACAGGTAAATATGTGCTGGAAAACCGAATGTTTGCCCAGGAATTGAGATGAAATTATTTAGCCGCGAGTATTCAAGGAGAATTCATTCACAATTTGCGCTTTATCAAGGGAACCGAAAGTCTTTTTATCGGATATATAAGCAGTATCGGTTAATAAAATGGGATTAACGTCAAAATTGGATAAATTGAAGCTTAAGTCAGATAAGGGTCAAAGTTCGAATAGCAATTCGGGCACAACGACACCCGTAGGCGAGGCAGCAACTGAAGGAGGCATTCCGGAAGGGAACAAGCATAGTGCAAATGATACTGACGATATAGACGAGATTGATAACGAGGGACAGTCGATATTGATGGGGATTATTTCGCAGTTGAGACCAGGATGTGATTTATCAAAAATTACGCTTCCTACGTTTATCTTGGAGAAGAAGTCGATGCTAGAGAGAATCACCAATTTTTTCGAGATTCCGGATCTTTTGCTTGAGGCGGATGCTACAGATGACGATTTGATGAGGTTTGTGTTGATAGTGAAATGGTACTTGGCGTCGTGGCATATTGCGCCAAAGGCGGTCAAGAAGCCGTTGAATCCAATCTTGGGAGAGCTTTTTGCTTGCTACTGGGATAACCTTCCAGATAATAGCACGGCGTATTACATATCGGAACAGACATCGCATCATCCACCCAAGTCGTCATATTTCTATTTGGTGCCAGAACGTAAGATTAGGGTTGATGGGGTGGTTATTCCGCAGTCGAAGTTTTTGGGTAACTCGTCCGCAGCCCTTATGAATGGATGGGGACATGTGCAGTTAGGAACCAGAGGCGATGAAACTTATATAATGAATCAGCCAAACGTGTACTGTAGGGGTATATTATTCGGCAAATTGAGGTACGAATTGGGAGATCAGATGGTGATTAAGTGTCCTAAGACCGGCTTCGAAGCCAACATCGAATTCAAGACCAAGGGATTCATAAGTGGCACTTACGACGCCATTGAAGGTACTATAAAGAACACCAATACTGGTGAATCATTATATTCTATTACTGGTAAATGGAATGAGGTCATGGATATAAAGAATCTTGCCACTGGTAAGAAGGAAGTGCTTTTTGATACTGCTACCACCAAGCTCTTTGAGCCAAAGACAAGACCAATCGAAGAACAATTGGAGTACGAATCTCGTCGTTTATGGGCACCAACTATCAAGGCATTGGGCAAGAGAGACCACGAACTTGCCACGAACGAAAAGGCCAAGGTTGAAGGCGAGCAACGTGTCAAAGCAAAGAAAAGACTCGAAGACGGCGTCGAATTCCATCCAAAGCTCTTCAGACCTGTTACGGAGAAGGATAATGGTGCGCAAGATTTGGAATATGTCATATACAAGAGATTCGACTTGGCGAGCGATCCAGAGACTTTAAGACAAACTGTCTTCGATACCATGCCAATATTACCGGGCCAGGTTGACACCGAGTCGCTCCAAATACCTGCCTTCAAAAAGAACTCTACCTCATCCCCTGCATCCCCCGATGATGCCCCACCTGCTGATGCCCCTTTTGTTGACGCTTCCGACGCTCCTCCTTCTGACACTCCTCCTGTTTAGATATAATCTGTATCCTTGTTAAATTGAGTTTATTTTTATATAATAAAGTTTTTTAATAAAACATTAATCACAATATCTTCCATATCGCTTCCATATTTCCTTAATGTTAGCAAATATTCACCCACAACATATAACTAGCTATTTACTCTACATTTGAAATTGTAAAACCAGTAATCTTTCTCGGTAACAGGTCTGCCAGTGGAATATTTCACCTTCGACCAGTCAATTCTCTCATGGATTTTCCGGGCTATCTCATCATCTTCTTCCAGATACATGATAGGTTCCCCTGTATTTGCATTTATCAATCCTGACTTTCTTGGATGCTCGGACCCTTTAGCAGCCACGGAGATCTTCAACATGAATAAAATGAAAATTAAGAGACTAGTTAACAACACTACTACTAAATACATATACATCTTCAAAAACCCTTTTACTCTTACAAGAATAGCATAACTAGATCTACTTCTTAGTAATGGAATCTAAAGAATCAGTCAAGAGACGTGTCACGTGATCGATTTGTTGAATTGTCCTTTTCTCTTATACCGATATATATATAATAACTAACATAGTATATATATTCGGAATAAGAACACTTATAATGGACCAAGCATACGAGTCTTTGCTTGAATCGACGGAGTCTCCTACGTTTGATATCTTCCAATGTTTGTATCAGCTAAAGATCAATATAGACAACATTGGAGTCCATCATTATTTGGTCAAGAAGCTCTATAATTTCAGCTACTTGGAAGTTGAATTCCACATACCACAGCTTATTCAATTATTGGTGAGTTTTGAGACGGACTCGATGGCATTAAATGACTTTATGTTGGATTACAGTAGGAAGTATCCACATTTTTGCTTAATAACGTTTTGGAATTTACAAGCGTACGTGTTTGAGTTGAAGAATGATCCGGAATCTTATTCGTTTCATATTGTGAGAAGTTTCATCAATGAGCTTCAGAATGTGATGTTCAACCAGGAGGCGTTGTACGATTCGCCGGCGGTACACAAGAAACACGGAGAGTTTCGAGAAAACTTGCAACCGTCCATAGCGATGTGTGGTGCTGTTTTGGCGTCAATTGCGGTTCCGCAGATCAACGTTTACGCCAAACCGATTATTGCGTCACAGGGGAAGCAGCAGAAGTCTCTTTTGTTCAAGTTGGCTAATTTCCATAAATCATTGACGAAGAATTTGACACTCAAAAATAGAGGAAGGGCCACGTCGCACAGCGAACATGGCAATATCGATCAAGGCCATCGCTCCTTGTCGAATCCAGGTACCACTAAAACGCACGAAGAACCAGCGAAGGAGAGTATCGATAGCACCTCTAAGGCACTGCGCAAGCTACAAAATTCGGCTACCATGTCTAGCTTGGACACTTGGGAAGATAGACATTACAATAGTGATTACTCGCTCGAAAGAGATATGAAGATTAATACGAGAATCATATCAAAAAAATCTTACATTAGGAGAGCAAAAGAACTTGAACAGCTGGGGTTGGAGTCGGAGTCACTTATCGATGTAAATGCTGACGTTTACACGAGACCACCCTTGAAAGATAACAAAATAGCATTCCACTCGATGCCAGATTTGAGATCAAATAATAGAGAAGGGTCACTCGATGAAATGCCCATTACACCTGTCATATCCGACTCGTCGTCTACATCACTTGCTTCATTAGATTTACAAGAGCACAGACATGTCAATAATCATAGAATTCTTCCAATGCATCAAGACCAGAAGATTAAGTATTTACAGGTAAATTATTTTAAAAAGGAAACTGAGTTCATGATGGGATTGCAAAATATATCGACGAGGTTGTCTCAAGTACCTAAAGAAGCACGTTTGACGTCCTTAAGAGCAGAGCTTTCAATCATTAATAATACTATATTTCCATCCGAAATTGACATTCCTCAATTGTTACCAATTAGCAGTAAGCAAAATAAGAAGTTTCACAGAATAATTAAGCTTAATGTAAATGAAGCCTGTGTTTTAAATTCGGCTGAAAGAGTTCCATTTTTGTTATTAATCGAATATTTAAGTGAAGAAATGGATTTTGACCCGTTGAATGAACATAATAAAAATATTATTCTTAGTAAGTCTACGAATGACTCTGTTTATGCTAGCGGTAGACGTAACAAGACGCCAACGACAGATTTCACTAGAAGTAGTACTGATTCTACTCGTCAAACTGAAAGCATCGAACCAAATACAACCTTTGATGAAGCTGATTTAGGTGATATGTCTGTTGTAGCTCTTTCGAACGAAAAGAGTTTCATTACCAATCATTTGAATTCAAGACAGGCAGACGATATGAGTACACATAGAGTTGACATATCGCTGCCTGCCCCTCAAAAGGTAAACATAGAGAGAAGACAGACGCCTGACTTAATTTCACCTAGTTCACCAGGTACTCCTACTTTTGACACAAGAGATTTATCAACGCAGATGAGAATAGCCGCAGTTATGTTACAGCAACTTGAAAAATCAGGTCAAACAAATACTGAACAAACTGCCGCTATCAGGGCACGTATCATTGACTCTATGAAAGCATTGCAGGATAAATTCGAAAACATTGATTATAAGCAAATTCAAGCTATGCAAAGTGTTCATGTAGGAAAAAACTCATCTGATGCTGGTGAAAGGAAATTAGAAAATGATTTTAAATTAAGTGAAGATTGGGCAACTAAGAAAAATCGTATAAGACAAGCCAGTGCCTATGGACATTTAAAGAACTGGGATCTTTGCTCAGTAATTGCGAAAAATGGTGATGATTTACCGCAAGAAGCATTTGCATGTCAATTAATATCAATGATTTCAAACATTTGGAAAGCAAACAATGTCGGTGTCTGGACTAAAAATATGAAAATCATCGTTACAAGCGCAAACACTGGTCTTGTGGAGACAATTAATAATGCAATGTCGATTCATTCAATCAAGAAAACTTTAACAGACTTAACATTGAAAAGTGGTGAAAATCCAAAAGGTAAAGTTGCATCCCTCAAAGATTATTTTAATAAGGTTTACGGAGATGAAGATTCGTATAAATATAAAAAGGCACAAAGTAATTTTGCTAGAAGTTTAGCAGCATATTCAGTTATCTGTTACGTTCTCCAAATAAAGGATAGACATAATGGTAACATTATGTTGGATAATGAGGGCCATATTATTCATATAGATTTCGGATTCTTATTATCGAATTCACCTGGTAGTGTCGGCTTTGAAGCTGCCCCATTTAAGTTGATATTTGAATATGTTGAAGTATTAGGAGGATTAGAAGGTGCTCAGTATCTTAAATTTAAGGAATTGTGTAAGGAATGCTTCAAAGCTTTGAGGAAGAATTGTGATCACCTAATTAATATTGTTGATTTAATGCAAAAGGACTCCAGTTTACCTTGCTTTAAGAATGGTGCTCAAACCAGTGTTTTGTTAAAACAAAGATTACAACTGGACTTGAGTGACGAGGAATGTGATGCATTTGTGGAAACAGGCTTAATTGGAAAAAGTATTGGAAGCGTATATACCAGATTATATGACCAGTTTCAATTACTTACACAAGGTATTTATAGTTAATTACGTAAATTAATATTTTATTAAAATTATGTAAGTTAATAGAACTGAATAATGCAATACTACTGATATTTTCAATAGCTGTAAACGGAAGAGCAGCGAATTTACTATATGTGAATTTTAGCAGATGAGGCAGGCGATGACCAACCGTTGTTACCAGGATCTTGCATGGGCGAGAAGTCGTCCATTCTCTCTGAACTAGGCAAATAGGTTGAATGTATTGGTGTACATACAGATACCAGACTCTTATTGGAGAAGACTGAGTATTGTGAGGTGGCCGATGGTGGGGTTAAAGGAACATGGTTTTCATTTCTCGTTTCGAGATTCAGATTAGGGAGTTGCAAAACTATATCTGCAAGATTACATAGTTTCGAGTTTGAGAGCTCTATCATAGAAGCTTCTTGCACTATATTCTGGTTCTCATATATGGCCGAAACGGCAAAACTGTAGCGATTATTAAAGTTTTTGACAACTTGAATAACTCCCAAATCGTCATATTTCTTAGACAATACATCGGTAACCTTTCCTAATTGTACGATTAACATTAAGCAAATTTTTCTAATGGTATTAAGCGAGGATGAATCGAATCCACTTAAGAAGGGACCTTCTACTTCGGGTTGTCTGTTTTCGGAATTTTCATCGTATTCGTTAAAACCAAGCCCCGGGATATTAGCTTCAGATGTGTACTTCTTGAATATAGATCGCAATGAGGCAGATGCATTAGGGATTTGTAACATGGAACAAGCCATCAAGTTGGCTGTTACTGCAATAAGTGATGGTGGAAGCGACAAGAAGAACTTATCATATAAGGATAGTTCACACAAGAAACGACCCACTGCCGTGACAGCAGACACCTTAGATGCATTATTCATAGTGTTCGACTTGTCATTTATATTATTGTATTTACACGGAGTGCCGTGGGTAGTGATGTTACACGACGAAATGGCTAGTTGCAAACATTCCTCTAAGTTCGCATGACTCAATGACCACTCGAGTGTGGCCAATATGTGCATCTCCATCTGGATAAACATCTCCTCGTCGTATGCATTACGACACATTATCGATAACTCCCTCAATGTAGGCACCCGGCTCTTTTTATCTTCGTATTTGCCAGCAATCCAAAGAGCAGTACATCCCACGAGCTGGTAATGCCTCTTGAACACAATTCTCTTAGCACAGTAACGGTCAATGATGCTCAAGCACAAAAACAATGTCTGTGGCTGTAATTTGAATGACGAGTGGAGCTCAATGAGAAAGTCCAACAAAAACGGCCTCATAAACCATTGGATCTCTGGCTGCAAGTCGATCATGGCCGGATTCACTCCCCGTGACGCCTCCAATTGGGCCAAAACCTTCGTGCCATCTGCCTGGTACTCGCTCACCAATTTCCGATTCGCCTGGCTTTCAAGGAGTTCTAGCATCAAATTATACGGCTTGCGTCTAACGTGTGTTGGCGGCCCATACTTGGCCTCGCTACCTGTCTTAGACCCCTGTAATTGCATTTCAACCTATGTTTAAAATGTAAAACAGACGCTGAAATCAACTTACTTGATCAATCTTTAACGTACTTCTGTCAACTTGATATATATATAAATCTCCTTGTAAAATCTAACGCGTAACAGAAGAGAACTTTCACTTAAAAATGCATATCGTGTTGAAAAATTTCGTGAATCGTGAACCGCGAATGTCGTGCGCCATTATGACGATCAAATTCCTCCGATCAGTATGGGTGTTTGGATGGTACTGTGGATCTATGGCATCGAAGGAATGCAGTAGTAACCCGAAGAATAGGAAAGCGACTACAAAAAGGGTGTTGCGACAGTGTTTTGGGGCAGGTCTATTGTACGGTGGAACAAAGGCAGATATAGAGCGTGAAGCGTGGAGGGAAGGACAGACAGTAGGTAATGGCAGGGAGCCGTAGTGGGAACAGGAGAGTCGGGGTGGACTAGGGTGGTAGGATGTAGGTTATGCTAACATGGAGGTGTGGTGAAGATTAGAGAGGTCATAGAAGCTGTGAGGTGGTGGACCAGAAAATGCGACCAAAAGAGACGAGTGGACGATATTACTGTTTCTGGCAAAACGGTGCGGAAAGAATGGCGCTCGAGCGTCTGGCGACACCAGAATAGAGGCTACCGAGACAACGGTGGGCCAAGCCGATGGCTGTAAGCGCAGTAAGGTTTTTGGGTCAGCGAAGCATGGTGCATCGCGGTAGACGTGTGATAGGCCATATCGACGCGACGGAGGGTTGCAAAGGGTGTCGATATGGTGTCTGGCATGCGGGTGGGTGCGGCGTGGTCGCGCGCTCAGTAAGGAGTCGGGGTTTGAAAAGTTTTTAGTGTGGATGAATAATAGAGCCTGGAGCCCGACATTCTTTTTGGGTAACATTCTGCCCTATTTTGGTGGAATGTTTCCGTGTTCTATCATGGACCACTTGTCACATGAGTGGATTGTCGTGGAGGCGACATTGTTCAACACTATGAGTTGCAATACTATGGGTTGCTCTTTAAACCACCTAGTCAATATATAGTGATTGATATATTACGCTCCATTGGGCTCATTTGTAGATCCGTCGAGTTTAAGTAAGGTTTAAGAAATATGCGTGTGAAAAAGATGCATTTTCCGACACTTTAGTTAATTTTCGAGAATGTTGCAATTTTCAATAAAATCTGGGGAATTGGTAGTTATCTAGAGAAACTTTTTTGAGGTAATATAAATTTTCTTTGTTGGTACATGGGATATCTAGTGGGTGAATAAACTAGAGATTAAATAGCTTTGTTTGATAGCTAACACGTAATTTGCAACTTCGAAAATTAAGCACGAGCTCGTCTTAAGTGCTCATGCGGAATTATCGTTCAACACCCCGCGGTCTAAATGGAGTCTTCCATCATACGTCGTAAATAGGGTAAACTGTTGAGATCAAATTTAGAAGTTGTATGCACACTTATAACTTGCAATTGCCACAACCGATTAGCATGTTGTAGGTAACAAAAAACTACATCTTGTGGTATTTGCGCAAACCAACTTTCCATGAAAAGCGTCACACTAATCAAAAAAACAAAGTGATTTGCTGTAGATATGCAAATTTTCGTAAACACATATGACAGCCTGAGGCGTCATGTATTGGCAGCTGCTAGGGTGGACACAACTCCGTATATTGCTTTCTCTCTGGATTTTCACCTTCACTTTTACGATATTATTTATGTGAACTCAACACTCACATTTTCAAAACTTTAAATCGCATCAGTTTTCGTAAAAATTTCTCTAATTATTCGATTTCAGCATCTGCTTCAATTCTCTGGCATGTGTTTTGACATCCTCATATGCCCATATGCTAATGTGCGTAAATTGAACAGTATTTCCTCCCGATTACCTGTATACTGTGACATATTGCGAAGCCAGAAGTATGACAACACCTTAAAGTTGAACCATAAGTGTTCGGACTTGACATTTGGTACAAGCAATCAAGGTTATATTGACTTATTGCCATCATTTGGTACGACCTCCCCACAATTCTATTTTTGACTTCGCGCGAACGTTTTTAGATTTCGACTAATTATTCATGAAGAGACGACTATTGTTAGACGCACAATATCGCATTGCATATTGTCTAGCAAAATAGCATGCGCTGCGCCAATACTTAAGGCCGAATGCAAAACCTCTTTTTAGCCCAAAATTGTACCATTTCTAGGATTATAGAGGTCTTCATAGAAATCCATCAAGATCATTTGGTCTGGAATTTGTAAAAACAAGTAAACGTCCTGTCTAGATCGTTTAGCACCAAGTAATGACCAGAATGATGTATGTTACTTTTGATTTCGAGAAAAATTTCTCACTTAACCTTAAATCCTCGGAAGTACGCCTAGGGTCAATTGTAGTACGCGATCGCATAACAAGAAGCCTCACAATAAGCTATTGTGATGGCCCAGATACAAAACGGTCAAGAGTAGCCGTTACCATAGTCGCCATCGTTCTCATGTGGTTGTGTTCTTTAACTAGCAGTTCTCTTCTAAAATATCGATAGCCACAAAAGGCTACACTCTTAGTAGGTCATCGTGCACTGAAACGCCTAAGTAGATACCTCTGAGACCTTTTGAGCTCTGATAAATTCTGATAAATATTAAAGACTATTGTTCTGATTCTTCTAAACCTTAATCTAATAGGATTCGATGATCATCAGTAGTATTGTTCGTTCTCCTATAAATTTCTCAAACTTCTGCAGAAGTGTTCTCGAGACATCCATATGCGTCTATGCTTGTGGTCGAAACTAATTTGCTATATTCGATAAAAGTAAATCCATCAATGCAACTGCCCAAATTACAAACAACCCGATGTATAATGTATATGAAAGCAACCTTTCTGATTCTTACTTATTTACTTTTATCAGTTTTGTAGTCCGCACAATGCATTATTTCTGATACTCCGCATTGTGCTTATATCCAGTTGGTCTCGGTACTTTGTCTTCGATTATTTCTGCGCGAGCATGAGATGTTGATTGATGCAAGCTATCTCATCAATGCTATGAATGCATATACTGGAAAAGCAATATATACAGTCTTCCAGTGGAGAAAAGGCTGGAGATTAGGCCGAACTAAATAAACGTAATCCTAGCATCTAAGCAAGTACTTTAGAGGAGGAACGAGGCCATCTGTAGCACCTATTTGGTACACTTCCACACCTTGTTCTGTCCTTCTAATGGGGTTTTAACGATTTTATTATCATCAATCTTGCTAGTAAGCTCGCAAGCGGGACACAAGATATGCATTAAACACGATAGTATTCTAGTCTTTGTTTAAATATTTCATGTAGGATATAAGGTTTGGACTCGCAGATATAACAAGGCAGCATATTCTTTATTATTCGAGATCAAACTGCTCGAAAGCTCATGAATACGTAGAACAAATACATGACTTCGATGATACAATAGAGTGAATTATTGATTACCAAATGCAACAATTCATCCTGAGCAGTATGCTAACCATTTCCTAATTAAGAGTAAGTATTCGGAAGGGTCGCGGATATATGCATGCATGGTATAGTTGCAAAACAAATGGTGCATCCTATTAAATATGGACTTTACAATTCGAAATAGAATACAACATTTTCATAAGCAAGATAGCCATAATAGTATGCAATAGCTGAAAGTAGAAAGTGAAATTCTACTTTGGTATTTTATTGCTCGCTGCTTTATTTGAAGACAACTATGATGGTAAAAAGACCTTGATAATGACAGAACTCTTAAAGTATAAATATAGCCAATAATTCTCCAAAGCAGGTACTTTTTAATCGTTAAGACAAATTTAAAAAGCATTATAACTTAAATCATGTTGCTTACTCGTACTCTTTTGACACTTGCATTGGTGCTTAATGCGTACGGTATCACCATTTCAAAAGATACTAGGGTTCCGTAATCGAAGAAAGTGTTACGGTGAATAAAGATATCACCTGGAGTATTCTTGACAATCATTACTTTTCCACAACTGGTCAACTTAATATTGCTGGAAATTTATTTGTCAAGAATAAGCCAAATTCTTTGGCTATCTTTTATACCGGCGCTGGGGATGTCAGCAATTCAGGAGAGGTTGTGTTCGATTCTCGCCAGGCTACAACCCCTGCCAACTATTTGTTCACTGCTGCTCATTTTGAAAACACAGGTAGAATGTGGTTTGCAGCAGACGGCAGTAGGGCCCTTCCCCTTATGAGTATAACATCGGGTGACCTTAGTAATGATGGTCTTTTGTACTTTTACCAAACCGAAAGAAATGGAGCCATGACCGACTTAGGAGGTGGAGCAGGTACAACTTTTGAGAATAATGGTCAAGTCTGTTTAACAAACAGAATTTACGACCAAACTTCTAAAATTAGTGGTGATGGTTGTTTTGATATTGGAGAAGATAGTGTTGTTTTCCTTCAAAATTCGCTCTTGGATATTTCTTCAGATCAAACATTCTATTTAAGTACTTCATCTTCATCTTTGAAAGTCGAATCCAACGCTAGGCAGCAAACATTTAAGGTCGCTGGTTGGGGTAATGGTAACTTAATTGGATTTAGTATGAAAATCCAGTCCTTCGATTATGATGACAGCACTGGTACTTTGTCCGTACAAAGTGGTACCTCAGGTGCTTCATTTACTTATAAATTCGATATTGGTAGTGGATACGATGAGTCAAAGATAGAAATTGTTGACCCTGACTTTGGAACTGGGATCATCAACATTCCAAATGGTGGGCTTGTTTATAATGATGATGTTCCAAACCCTGAAACTCCTCTGAGTTGCAGTGCTTGTTCACCAATCCCTGATATTCCAACTACCACGCCAAGCTCCTCAGCTTCTTCTTCGGCACCACCAAGTTCATCCGAGCCACCAAGTTCATCCGAGCCACCAGGTTCATCTGAACCACCAAGCTCATCCGAACCTCCAAGCTCGTCTGAATCATCAAGTTCGTCTGAATCATCAAGTTCGTTTGAATCATCAAGTTCATCCGAGCCACCAAGTTCATCTGAACCACCAAGCTCATCCGAACCTCCAAGCTCGTCTGAATCATCAAGTTCGTCTGAATCATCAAGTTCTACTGAACCACCAAGTTCATCATCAAGCTCTACTGAACCACCACGTTCATCCGACTTATTAAGTTCTTCTGAAGTAAGTGAAACTGAAACTTCGACAGAACCACCAAGCTCTTCCGCTGCTACATCTTCAGCTAGTGAGACTAGTAATTCCTTAATTACGAGCGGACAAGAACAAACTAACACTGCCACTCCATCAACCACCCCAACAGGTTCAGAAAACAATACCTCTAATACTGACAATGGATCAGGAGACCAATCAAATACAGAAACAACTACCCCAACAGGATCGGATAATGGTTCTGGTGATGGATCCGACAATGGTTCTGGCGATGGTTCTGGCGATGGATCAGACAATGGTTCTGGCGATGGATCAGACAATGGTTCTGGCGATGGTTCAGACAATGGCTCAGGTAATGGATCAGGTTCAGGTGATGGTTCCGGCTCAGACAATGGTTCTGACGACGGTTCAAGTGATGGATCAGAAAATGGTTCTGGTGACGCTTCAGGATCACGCTCTGGCGATGATTCGGGCTCAGGTTCAGGTGTTGGTTCCGGCTCAGATTCAGGTGATGGTTCTGGCTCAGGTTCAGGATCAGGCTCAGGCTCAGGCTCCGGCTCAGGTTCAGGTTCAGATTCTGGAGATGGTTCGGGATCAGGCTCTGATGATGGCTCTGGCTCAGACAATGGCTCAGACAAAGGATCAGGGTCAGGCGCTGACAGTGGATTAGGTAATGGTTCAGGATCACCTGGCGATAGCTCCGGTTCTGGTGATAGTTCAGGATCAGGTTCAGACAATGGCTCAGACAATGGTTCTGGTGACGGAACAGGCTCAGATCCTGACACAGATTCAGGCACAGACTCAGGATCATCTGCTTCTGCTTCGTCCACAGCTACTGTTAGCGCTTACGAAGGAGCTGCCCCAATGAATAAAATTTCATCCTTCTCAATTGCATTGGTGCCATTAGCATTGATGGCTCTTATTTGAATTGATTTAACAACATGATTCAATCCAATTTCGTGCTCAGTTATGTGAGCTTTGCTTTGTTTGATACCATTTTTACTGTATCACTCTTACACTATTCTTCCAAATGAAAAATTAACGTGGTTCCTATTTTACCAAAATTTTAGCTATTATATGATGAATAACTAGAATTAAATAGCTAATTCATTTCAACTTCAATATTCGTGCTCAAAAACTCGAGCTTTTGTTCTAATACCAATCTATAGTTGTATTAATTTGTTTTAAATCACCCAATACATAATTGATAATTTAAAATTTCATATATAAAATGGGTGCGATCAAAAAAGTAAAATAAATTAAACTAAGGTACTTGATATACTTTTTTTATATATAAATATAAAAGAATCTATGAAGAAAGCTTATTATTATTTGTAATGCTAGAGTTATGTCTGCTAACTTGACTTGTTGTGTCATTATTATCGTCCACTGAGTTGGACTGTTCGGTCTCAACAGGAGAATTTTTATCTCCATGCTCGTCACTTTCTATATCATCAGGTTTTTTATCTTCTGCATAAATCCACTTTCTCATGAAATTGACTAAAACCTGGGCAGTAATCACCTGCTCAGCCTGGTATAACACCAAAGGAACCAACAATTTACCTAAGTTTTCATTTTTTGAACCATACTGTGACGAGATAATAGATACACCTAGGGCCGCAGTTTTTGCGGGCCCGCATAACATTATGGCCACTGTGTCCCGTCTATTATAGTAGAAAGGTCTAAGTAACTTGTAACCGTAATTGTAAGCTTTAGAATGCGATTCGTTAGGTTCTTCGTTGAAATATCTCAATATAAATAATGGTCTCGAATAGTAATAAGTCAAGACTGTGAAGAAAAGGTAAATTCCAATGTTGAAAAATACAAGGAAAATAATCGATTCATGACTGACGGAGGTAAAAGCATCCTGGGCAAATGCAGTTGAAAATGACTGAAACATAATTAACAACAACATAAAAGATCCAACTTTGGCTAACTTGAATGTCGTTAAGGTCCACTTAGTTTGTTTTGGGAAGATATTTTGAATTACCTGGCCCACAAATAACGGCACAAACAACGATAATCCTAGTTGTTTCATAGCTTCTCTATATAAATCTTGAATTGTAGTGTCGCCAGAAGATTGATGGGTTGGATTGGCAAACTCCCAAGTACCCACCAAGTACATCTGGACCAACGCCGGAGTTATAAAGGCCCCTAAGATATTTCCCACCGATACTTCCAATAATGTCAACACATCATTTCCATGAGCCTGTTTGGTCATAACCACATTCGATGAAACAGTAGTTGGACATGCATGTGTTACAATCATACCTGCTAACAACCACTCGTCCATAGACGGGTCGTTAGCAGCTTTTATCCCACACGCTATTCCGTATATAATTGAACTTGTAATTAAAAATGATGTCGACAAAACAGTGAAATGTGCCCTCCAGTTCAATAAGTTGACGCGAAGCAGCGTCGTTGACATAGACAATCCACTAATCAAGAAAATCACCGCTACTGCACCATATTGAATCGAATATTCTGCTCTGACTGTCCCTCCTTGCTTAGCAAACTCGGGGTATGAATGTGCTATCGCAATAAATGCTCCTAAAAACAAGAAGAACCATTGTGAAATGAGAAATGATATCACGGAACTCAATACTTTGTACGCTTTTGTTTCCTTAATCTCTGATATGGTAACCATATCGATTTATATTTGTATTCCTTCTATTTCGGTATTAAAATATGCATGTAATAAAAAAAATGCTTTTAAAAGTAAAGTATTTCAAAAATTATAAGCCAGTTATATATAATCTATACTTTATTTGGATCTTATACAAATGATCAACACTTCTAACTTCGTATATATGTGCATATATGTATACATATATATATATTTCAATTTTTTTTTCTAATGCTCAGATCGGGTGTAGCCGAGGCTAATAGTGTGCGGAACGTCCACAATCGGATCGAACGCCGAGACTTTAACCAATAGCTTATTTAGATCCCTAATTATAAGAGATAAATGCTATTAACGTATTCAGAATCCAAAAGTAGTACTTAGTGGTAGATAATGACTCAGAAATATGTGATAGATATGCCATGTAACCTAAATCTCCGCCCGAAATCGATTACGATTCATGTTTTCACGACACTCCAAATATATTCAACTAATATTCAACTCAGCTCCAAAATAATCCAGCTGTTGAAAAATATACATTTGACACAACGTATTTAAATTAGCAAACGGTGATCAAATATAGATATGTAAGATAAATATTCTACCGATAACAAAACCTTAAACCCCTTCCATGCATGGTTCCATCATGTATGGAAACGGAGATATATAGCACGCCAAAATGGTCCAAGTGGTACGATATTAGGTTTGTCTAGCTGTGATTAGTGTTATACACGATACTGATGGAGCATGTATGTAAATCCAAAGGTATACTTAGGTACGCTGCAAAATAGTCTTGCACATAAACTTGTCTGCTGCTGTTCATTAACTTCCCAATTAGGGAGAAAAATCAACATTCTCAATTAGAAATAATTGGAATAAACAGTGTATACGGAAGATTTGATATCAAACGAGTACAGAATATAAGTATCTTCTTTCTAAGTTTCGGATACTATGACAGGGCAAAATATGACAAGAATTGATCGGATACGTAGTGAGAATACTACGTTTGTTAATAACTTTTGGGGCCGCCGAGACTCCGGATTCAAAGTGATCCAAACAAAGATAAAGCATGCGTTGACAACTCTCGAAGAGTTGTTAGACTTCTATAAGGAAAGGATTCAAGTAGAAAAGGATTACAATAAGAAACTAGAGAAACTTAATGGGAAGATTCTTTTGGGGTCGCATGAGACTGGGTCGTTGAAGAAATCACTCGACAAATTATCGTTAGAAAATAAACATATGGTGAAAGATAACTCTAAGTTCATAAGATCATTATCACAGACAAACTACGACAAGCTTAATCACTTCTATGCTATTTACTATAAAAAGGTTTCTAAGATCGAACTGCATATGCAAAAAATTATTAATAAACAAAATGATCTCTTCAAAACATTGGAAATGAATAAGAACAAGTACCAGGAAGAATGTTCTCAAATTAAATCATTTAGACTACTTGTCCAGACTACATGGGGTAAAGAGTTGGAAAAAAACGAGGTCAAATTGAACAAAATTATATCTTCGAATACTAATACTAAGAAACACTACCAAATGGCTGTGACAAATTTCACAGATTTAAATGAGATATTCATACGGGATTGGTCTATAGCTCTAAAGGACTTTTATAAATTGGAAATTGAAAGAATTCAGATCTGTAAAGTTAATTGTTTCACTTTCTGCAATAATATCGCTACGTTGTGTGTTGACAACGATCAATCCGTTGATTTGGCCAGATCTGTGTTCGCTTTGGTATCCCCACCACAAGACTTACAGGATTTTGGAGATACATATGGTACAGGTGATAAAATATATAAATCTCCTGAATTTGTTGATTTTATGGATGGGTATGGTGATGAACAAAGAGACTCTGAATTCACAAGAGCTGAATTTGAAAATCCAGACAGTGATTTGTTATCTAGATCACACTCATCATACTCACAAGGAACACAAAAATCATCACCCACCCACGAAACAACCACCAAAACCCCATTGCCTCTTGTTAAAGAAACCTTAGAAAAGGCTAGTCTCCCCCCACCTCCTACTAATAACATACCCATCAGTACGCCAAATGGATTTTTAGGGTCTCCTAGTAGGAAACCGCCAGCTGCATTTGACAGATCGAGCTCGGTGTATAGTGCTCAAGATAAGAATGACGTGTTTTCGGTTGGGGAGAAAGAGAAATCTCATAAATTTGCTAACAGTAATGGCTCATCTAATTATTCGAATCCTACGAACTATACCGGGTCTAACTATTCAGGCTCCTCCAATAATGAGAGAAACTGGGCATCTCCTCGTAGAAAGGAGAAACAGTTAAGTCAATTTCAGGAGCAGATTAATTTGAAATCAAAAGAATTACCATCATTTCCTTACAACTCGCATGAAACGAATGAAACGGCTCAAAATGTTCCAATAATGAAAGACTTTTCAATAGACTTTATTGCTAAAGCGTTAGAGGATTTGAACTCCGGAGGCGATGGTGATATAAATCAATACAGAAGATCTGTCAGAGGAACAGGAAACCCCGAGGAGCATAGGGCGAAAACAGCTCCTTCCACACCTTTCGGCAAATTAAAAACGCACTCTGACTTCGTCAACGATCGTGATGAAGTTGCAACCAGACATGACTCCATAACGTTCTCTTCACCTACAAGGAACCAAAATGGTGCGGACTTGGATGGATCACCTATCAAGGGAAGAAGACGCCAGAGGCCAAAGTCAATGCTTGACCCACTTTCCAACAATAGACTTTCAGACTACCCGATAGGAGACCACATGGATCATCTGGTAGACACATGTATAATCAAAAAACCCACTGATCAATTCCAGACTCCACACAGGAAACACCAAAGATCCTTACTGAAGTCCCCTACGAAATCTTACACGAACCTCAATGCGATGATTCAACAATCTTCAAAAGCCAATTTGACTCCAATAGGAAATACGCCTTATCTATCAAAGGCAAAAGCTATGTATACCTACAAACCACATGATCATGGTGAATTGTATTTCAAAAAAGGATGGTTCATGTATATTATTCATAAGCAAGAGGATAATTGGTTTGTATGCGAACTAGCTCAAAATTGTAACGATAGAGCTGGTATGATTGGTTTGGTTCCAGGAAACTACTTGTCCGAGGCACAGGACCTATTTTAGGGTATGATTTTCTCTATTAACTGTATTTATACTTGTATATTTAAATGTCTATTGTTTGCAGCCTAATGATGATGTGAACGTTATCATTCCTTATTGATTGATCTAAGTGGCTTTCTTGATTATGTAATAAAACAAAAACGGATTATGAGCTGCATATGTACTACACATGGCTATTGCCTGCACTTGGAGATTGCACGTTTTTCCCGTAGTTAATGTGGCACCCATTCGGTGCAATGTCGTGGGTGCAATGTCGCAAATGCGAACGTAAAAACCAACACTGAGCACTTTGATTGTTCTGGTACACTGACACAACCGTAACTTGCAATTTGCTGTTTCTAATGTGTCGCACGCTACGTTTTGCAAGTTACGCTATGTTGGATCGTCTTGGTATTTAGTCAATGAACTATATAAAGTGTAGTAGTCCCCATAGAATTCAGCATATCAAACTTTTTTATATTAATATCTGTCTTCTTCCACTCCACGCATCAACACCTTCCTGGTTATCATATGCGATCTTACTAAACTCGTTTTTCTTGGCAGTACCAAAGACTTTTTTCATGATGTTTTCAAGAACCCCCACAAAATGCAATTATTTCCTAGGTGAATATCTTGAAACTTGTATTTCCTTTAGTTGTAACCGTTTCTGATCTCTCAAAGCGAAAAGGGATCATAAGAATTATAGGGTTAAATGAATAGATATTTTCGACACGTTTGCAAAGCGTATCTGTGCGAGAAACTGGTATATGAAGTATTATGCAACGAATTATTCAAAAAAAGGTTTATATTGAACAAGAATTTCTATTCGATCAATGCAATAGAGGTGAGCATTGTCATGCATTAGGGCCCCATTTAAGATATATATATCAAGGAAAGAAGAACACAGGTTGCCTATATAATTTTCCAACCTGTGCCCGCCCAGATCTAACGAAAAAAGTGACAGCCCAACCATACAAAAAAGAGACGGTATGCACGCCTTTCTCACATAAAGATTACTCTTTTTGGGGTATCTTGACATCAAAAAAGGTCTTTTTAAAAGTTAAAATTATTGTCTTTCATGCTATTTCTTTAAAATTGTAAAACTAGTAAACTTTTTGCGGGATTCTTGAAATTAAATGAGATTATTCTTAAATCTTAGAAACTAGAAAGTCCTACTTATGAAAAAAAAAAATCTAGATATGCGGTTATATTAGTCTCTGGTATTTAAAATTTACAATAGTATTGTATTTATGCTAGAATGGTAGTAGTATACTTTAGCGTGATCAAGCCTAGCGATTTTTATGTTGTGCTTTCGCATTATGCTACAAATCATTTTGCTCTTGTTCAAAATTTCAAATACATTTTGTGGGCAAACAAATCGAATCTCGAAATAAGTCGTATTTATAGCTGAGACGTTAATGCTTCTAAAATGTATTTTTCTATTTTAAATTATTTGATCATGACTTGTGCTTCCATGTACATACTGCATTGCTACAGCGCCGATAAAGCATCTCCTTATCCATTTGGAACTTTGTTTCTTGCATCTGCACCCCTTACATGCTACTGCTGAGCAGTCTCTAGACGAATTCTTCCCTCGTTTAGCACACCCAGCATTCTTACTGCCGCAACTGCAATCTGCGTGATGGCAACCGCTTACGTTACATCTAGACTTACCATTGTTTCCCATGTAACACCAACTGTCGTCCGAGTAATAACGCTTATTAATATACTCATCACCATATCCACTCAGTGATATGTTAACATTATACATTAACACTATATTATAATCACCATATTCGTTTTGTCCGACTTCATTTTCTGAGGATAACTGGTTATACGCTGGGAAATAGACGACTCATTCACGCCAACATAATTGTATACTTCTTGGTAAACAACATCGTAGCCATCGTCACTGTCAACGTTGACGGTGGTTTCTCTAGGTTCATTGTTGTCATAACTCATATATAAAGTTATATTCGCATGTTCAGGTTGCAATAATAAGAATTGAGTAAATGACATATTGATTGCGTTATAAGTTACCGTCACGTCAACGTTAGTCATGTTTAGTGCTACTCCAAACTCATGAATCTCGTCTGAGAATGGGTAACAAACAATATTTGTAGCAAGTAAGGCCAAAGAAAGCAATATAAACAACATGCTAGTGTTTTATATTATTATTTTAGCAATAAAGAAAAAACGGAATAATATTTAGATCAAACAGACCTCCTTATATAGCGATAAGGTTAGGATTACTCAATACGTAACAATATAACTGCATGAAATTGTTAAGTGGCAATATCCAATAAGAAGCTGTGAACCAAACGCCTATTTATCCGCGCATTAAAGATTGACTATAGTTGAGGTGCACACCTCTGGATGCAATGTCGCAGCAATGTCGATAATAATTTGTAAAACTAGTAAATGAGGGTGGGTAAGGAAGGAAGACAAAAAAAAAGGTTTCATGCTATATAACACTATCGATGAGATTTAGTAAAGCACACTTTCTTGTAACTGAAAAGTAGGAGATCTACTCTGCAAGTACGTGCAAACTGTTCAACTTCATACAAAAAGTGCAATTCGTTCATTTTAGGGAGTATCGTTAGTCATAACATTAAATCAAAATCAACCAAAAAGCTATGGTGAACAGTCACATGTTATGCGAAAACTTAAAAAAAAAAGGATGAAATTGGTGATATGTCAATTATGCGCCTTCCCTTCCTGTATTGCATACATACTAAAGATAACAAAGCAATCGTATAGATATTCTTATCAGCTGTGCCAATTGTATATATACTTCCGCTAATATTCATATAGAAGAGCATAGTGACCCTTTTGTAGATTGCAAGGTGTAGTCACTTTGTTTCCGCGAAAGTTACATGAAAGAATCCAACTTTTTATGGGCTAAATGATTAATATCCCATAAATGTATTTTGACTTCTAATCTATTGGAATTATGATAAAGGTCGTGTGAATACCTGAAATATTAGGGGAAGAATACTTATGTATTAGTATTATAGATATACTGGTCTTATATATCAATATTGGTTACTATAGAAATAGCTAATGATCGATCTACCAATTGATGACTTTTTAGGATGGTCTTAATTAAGTATGATCTGCTTAATTACTATTCGTTAATTACAAAAAATCATCTACTTCTTGAAGATTGATTTCTAATTTATATTCTTATTTTGTTTCAGCTTGTTTAGATTATTTCCATACTCTCTGATTACTATCAATATCACTAACATAACCATTTATGGTCCTTACAATGATTTGTTTAAGAATCTTTAGATCTGATAGTTAAACAAAACCAACAGAATAGGAATGGAGAATGAGAATTGAGAGTATAATCAAGTGATCCGAGTCAGGTGCATATTAAGCTGCGAAATTGAAGTGATTTTGCTTTTTGACCGAATTCATAGTAGAACTCACCACACATTATCAGTTCAGTATCCCTTTAGGGGTTACTTTATTATTCAAAATTTAACCTGAATTATCTGGAATTTATTAATATTTTGAATTTTATGGGAAAAGTTGCAATAATAGGTATCTCACGAGAATTAATTTTGTATATCTATAAATTTGCATCATAATATTTTTTAAAGAGAAACATTACATGTAGCTCAAATCTTACTAGGGTTAAGTTACTATTTACCTCAGCTAGAAAACAGACCCCTCTGAACTTTAAACTTAAGGAAACAGTTGAAAAAATAAGTAATTGGTTACAATTATATCGAGTATCCGTCATCATATAATTTTCAAAAGTCATACATGAAGACATCTAGTGACAGTCCGTTGTTATCTAATTTCACAACGTCTTTGCTATAAACAAAAGTATCAAAATGCTGGTCTATATTTGAAGGAACGAATGATTGTTGAAAATTCTTTAAGTCATTATTACCTATCTCTTCATTAATCAATGAAACTTTTTCTTTATCGAATATCTCAAATTCAGCTTAGTCATTATTCAAAAAATTTCCTGAATTTACATTTGGATTTTGTACTTTGGATAAAATCTCTATCATATAATCTATACTTTTACCCTATCTTTCAAAAGAACCTTTCTTGCAGTCCGTAATGTGTCACAAAAAGTGTAGGGATGTTGAGGTGTAGGTGTAGGGATGTTGAGGTGTAGCATTATCTTTGTATTTTGAAGCAATATCTTCTATCGTTGTTCGGGTACCAAAAGTTCCTGAACTCCCTTCATCAAATATTCTTCACTAGAAGAATTACTATCATTTCCATATTTGTCATCTTCGTCTGCTCTATCAGCAGATATAGCTTCGCTATTAACTCGATTGGCATGCTTATAATTTTCATTAGAACCATTTGCTCTCAATATGTAGTCAAGAGTCTCAAAATCATTCTTCTTGTGTTCTTCATTATTTGTGCGGCTTCGTTCCTAATAACGTAATAATCTTATCTTCTCTTTTTTTTACGACTTTAACAAGTCTGCAAAATGCGCAATCTCCAAGTACAGGTGATAGATCCTATCCTTTCTAACGATAATTTATACGCAGAGACTGAGACATTTCATCTCTTTTGGATAGCCATACGACGTCAGACGGGAACGTTTGAATTCACGCTAAGACATTTCATTATGTAATAACTATTGCGATTACGTAACCGCAACTAATTAACGATTAAGGGGTGAACAATAAAGCATCGCTGTTTAATATCTATCACAAATGCCATGTATGTATTTTTCAGGGGTTGATAGCAGTGCTATCACCATCGATGATCCTAGCAACCATTGCATTATAATAAGTCCAGAACTATATAGTAGAGTCCGCAATAACGAGGAAGAAAATGCAAGAATTTTTTTGGATACTCACTTATTAAGGATTCGAAGTAAAAGAAGTGAGCCAAAACCCTCCTCAGAGAGACTAGTGCCCAAGAGTAAGGCATCCGTAGACGTAGGGAATAGGCCTTCTATGTCTATTCTTGCGTATACCAGCCGTGCATTGGTTACTGCGGAATTCANGGAGATGAGTAGGGACGAATTCAANGNNANGTACCTTGCNCCACTTGATAAGGCTCTTGAAGGGTCAAATATTTCAATTCCGCTTTTAGCACCCGCTTACCCTTATCCATTGGGGAATCCAATGCATGTGGAACAAGCCATCCAGCAATACTTTGATCGAGAAATAGCAGGAACAATCGATCAACTTTATCGTGATGTAGGTGATATGGACAACTATTTTGGAAGCCCATCAATAATAAGACCGCCATTGGATCAACGAAGAATAGTACAACCTGGTATCATTCATATGATAAATAAATCGGATTCAGATATACAAGATCCCGAAGTTGTTTTCGGGATAGGTGATTACAAAACGGGAATCTATAAGATGACAGAAGGATTTGAAGAATTGAAGGCAGCTATAGAGAGTCAAATCGAGAATTTGCTGAACCGAAGAAGATTGAGGCTGCAATCCAGTGTGAACTTTTTTCCAGATAGGGAGTGGACACCTAGGATATTATTTGCTTTGGTTTTAAGGAAGTATATATACCAAGCTTTCCTCTGTGGAACNGACAGGATTTTTATTTCAGATCACCAAACATTCTCAGGGTTCTTTAAGTATGAAATTATGGATGACAAGATGTCTATAGACTACTATGTCATAAATGATCCAGAAACTGTTGAGCATGGCATTACTTTGAGGTCGGCAATAGCCGGATTTTTCTATAAGAATGAGGATGATGCGATTGATACAAAGGGCAGGTTGAAGAAAACTTTCGAAGTGGCCAGGAAAACTGAAGAACTGGATCCGTTTTTGAATGTTTTGCCTAAAACTTCTTATGGATCTCCAGGAAAATTATCGGATAGTGNGNTTTCAAGTAAGTTANCAAGTAAGTTAGATCCGGTAAAAGAAAACGACGATAGTGATAACTTTGATGCCATTGATGGTAACACATATTGTCGAGTTATATACGATGCTGCAGAGTTTTATCCTGATTTGAAACTCCCATCCCCTGTTTTTGTCAAATTATACTATTATTCTAGNCGGTTGTGGGAAGAGAATGATTTGATGTGTTTGGAAATACCAGAGAAAAAGGGCTACTATGGCATGTTCTTCAATGAACTTGTAATCAACAAAAAAATTGCTAGTTCTCAATTTGCTTCTAATTTCCCAAAGCTCCTAGTCTCAGGTTACTGGAACGGACTTCCCGATCACCCGATGCATATATTTGAATACCTAGGAAGAGAAGTCCCGGAAGAAAAATGGGATAATAGAAAAGTACGCGCAATTATCAAGTCAAGGCTCGAGGAGCTCCATCTGTTAGGAATTTCACACAATGATGTTAGGCCGGCCAACATTCATGTTTCTGTTTCAGGCAAAATCTCTTTGATAGATTTTGGTCTCTCAGATTGCACAAATAATGAAGAACACAAAAAGAATGACTTTGAGACTCTTGATTCCATATTGGGAGTATATGGTTCTAATGAAAATGATCCTCAAGGCAATCAGCATGGTCAAGAAAATGAAGTACTTCTTGACGAGGCCGACAATGATGAAAATGATGGAAGTGGTAGTAATCCTTCCTCTGAAGCGGTTTTTGATGAGATGAGCACACAATCGCTCGCTACAAGTACAACAACGGAAGTTAATACGTCGAAGACGTCACAAAGATAGTAATGCATATCCATAAAAGAACCTGCTATTTTAACAGCGTCTTGTTCTGCTTGCTGCTCTCGTAGAATTTATTCGAGAAAGAGGTTTTAAATGCTAACCTTTGTTCCAAGCCAATATTCATCTTTATTGAATACCTCCTCTATATGTATATCTTACGTAATCCTATATCAGAGAAAAAGTATTCTAATAATTAGAAAGTGGCACCAAGATGTACTTGTACTGAGAATTATCACTTCACTATATAATACCTCGCAATGCAATTTCTGAATATGTACCATCAAAAGTTTCTAATTCTTTTCAATTTTGAAAGTTCAGGTAGTATTTAGTATTCTGAATAAGTTTCAATATCCTTATTTGAAGGGATCTGGATTATCATAAATTTGGTCTCATTATCGTTCCCTATTTATTCATTGATGACGTAATATAGCCTACAATTTCCCAGCTTCTCTTAGTTACTAGTTTAGCAAGCATTGCGACATTGAACTGCGCGGGTGTGTGCCTTAACGAAAGCAGGGCATGGATCAACAATAGCCTTAAACAATTACGAAAGAACCACTACTAAAGATCATGAAAATGGCATAAGTTGAGGCACAACAATTGATGCCAGAAAGTTGGCACGAAATCACCAACCTTCCCTTACAAATGCATTACCCTTAGTCACTAGTTTCTTTGCACAACGTTCTTGCCCATCTTCATTACCCCGAATCTTAAGCAAGTGAGTGTCCAAGAAGACTTTCGTATTTTGTTCCCTGTTACTGAAAAACTCTTATAAATAGTTCAGGATTTATTGTAATGCATCCATTGCTAGGGTCATCGATAGTGACAGAATCACTATCTACCCCTGAGAAATACATACACGGCATTATGTTATAGAAATTGAATATGGTCTTTTGAACCAAGTGGACGTGCAAGTAGTCCACTTGCAATAGGGGAATAAGGAATTATCTCAACTCTTCCGAAATCGTTACCTTTACAGAAGGGAATCATTTCACGCTCCTCTTCACGGTAAACAAGATTGTAAAAATTTTGCATGCTAATAAATTTTGTCCAACAGTTCTGCTCTGCAATGAACTGCAATTGCGCGAACTCAATAGCTTTCATTGAAGAAGCTCCTAAATATCTTACATGCCCCATTCAACGACGTTATGCAATGCTTTCATTATTTCTTTTTTAGCCGTACTATGATCAAACCTGTGTATTTGCAACACATCAATGTAAGTCCCCAATCTCTTTACAGAACTTGCAACAGCAGTATGAATATGTTTTCGTGACAACCCTCGGGAATTTACGTAGTTGATCTCAGGATATTCGTCAGTACCACATTTGAATAGACTAAAATTGGAATCATTATAATCCATAGGTGAATAAACTTTTGTTAGAATCACAATTCTTTCTCTTGGAATGTTGTATTTCTTGATAAACTTACCTAAAAGAATTTCAGATTTACCATTCGAATATGCATTGTACATCTGCACGTGAAGAAGTGATGGAATTTATAATCTTTTCAATCATTAATTTGAATTAATAATCTTAAACCAATAGTATAACAAAACAAAAACAGTAAGGATGACTATATCTCTAGTTAAGCCTATAAGGGGTACCCATACGCAAAATTCTTGTTCAATAAAGGACTTACCACCTCTAATTATTGGAGGTGCGGTATTTAATTATATTTATACTTCGGACCCGGCTGGTATTCCTGCTTACGATTTGCTTGATCTTGCGTTCAAGAACGGATTATTGGCTCTAGATACTTCTCCATATTATGGTAGGTCAGAGGAGCTTTTAGGTAAAGCTTTGAAACAATTGGAGGACATATGGAAGCGAGAGTCATACTTTATTTGCACTAAGGCTGGAAGAATCGGCGAGAGGGAATTTGATTATTCGAGAGACGGAGTAAGGAAATCTGTGTTAAGGTCAATCGAAAGATTAAATGCTACATACCTTGATTTAGTGTACATGCATGATGTTGAGTTTGTCACCGAAGATGAAATTTATGATGCATTGAAGGAATTACGTTTAATGAAAGAGGAAGGATTGGTGAAGAATATAGGTATCTCAGGGTATCCGGTGAAGTTATTATACCGGGTTGCATTGCAATGTAATACAAAATATTCTGGTACAATTGGTCCTTTGGATGCTGTATTGTCGTATTCGAACGGATGTATTCAAAATACGATTTTATATGATTTATACCAGGATTTCTTTGATAAGTGTGGAATACAGAAGTTAATGAACGGGTCAATCTTGAGTATGTCATTATTGAACTCCAGAAAGACTCTCGATTTCCATCCGGCATCGCAGGAATTAAAAAATAAAATAGAAGAAATTGCAGAGTATTTGAAAGTTAACCATAATAATTTAGAACTTGCAGATTTGTCTACCAGATTTGCGTATAGGACGTGGTTATTTGGAAGTTCAAATAAAGAGGTAGATTTCAACAATTTGACTTGGAACCAAAATTGTTCGATCGTTTTGGGAGTTTCGAGCATTGAAGAGTTGGAAGCGGCCATAAGTAACTATTGGCTTGTGAAGGAGAACATAGGAAATGTGAACGATAAGGATCGAATTCTTTTTACTAAAGTAAAGAGGCGTCTTGGCCCAAAACACTATAATGAGACATGGAAAAGTGGACTTGAACAACATAACGATTATTAGGAATTTATGGATTATTTATTAGACTATATATGGCCGTGCTACAATGGCATCACTATGAGTAGCCTTCAAGGTAGAGAAATACGATATTTACTTTGTTTTTGAAGACTTTTGTAAGACGTCTACAGCTTTGTGTCAATATTGTGTCAATATAATAATAACCACGAAATAAGTGAATAGATGGGACTGAGTAGATGCAACTCTTTTCTCTAAAATTTGTATCAAATAATTCGCTTTGAAGACATAAATATGGCATATAAGAGATCATTTTCCAACAAGAGCACCTCAAACACATCCAGCTCTAATGACGCAGTAATTGAGCTTGATAAAAAGAAGCAAATTACGGTTCGTAAATTTAACAATGTGAATTTGGTTGATATAAGAGAATTCTACATTGATAAGGATACCAATGAGAAGAAACCGGGGAAAAAGGGAATATCCTTAACTGAAGATACCTGGTTGAAGCTAGTACAATCGGCGGGCGAAGTTCAAGACGCATTGGATGTGCTAAACGGGGTTGAACCAAGCAGAAAAAAGGCCAAACAGACGGAAAGCAATGATGATGATGCTGATGATTGTAAACCTGAGGTCAATGATGAGGATCAAGAGTCTGGTACGAAAGAAGAAGAAGACGTGAGCGATGAAGATGCCGAGTAATGAAACTTCACGAGGAAACGGTCATGTAAAAGCTACATTACTAGCGTAGATGTACTCAATTATGGTATCAGAAGACATTGTTACTAATAGCAACACCGGGAGATGACAATATACTGAGTATTATTGCCAATCGATGCCAATTATATTGAGAGGACCTTATCTACAAAATTTTATATAACGATGTTTTTTTTTTTGGAGAACCTTGTAGTCATTATAAAAGGCAATAAGTAGTTTACGATATTTAGAGTATACCTGATATAAAGCTTTATATTAAATATTGAGATTCTATTACATCTATATGAAATGTTAACGCCTTATCATAACAAAAAATCTGCTGATGATTTCTCAAAATCTTGAATTTCATATCACAGCAAACTTAATGCAATTTTTTTTCTTCATCTATATCGAAGTTCTATACCCATTCAAGAGCTATTTTATATACTAATAGACTGAAGACGATATGCCCAAGAATAAAAATAAGAATAAGAACTGGAAAAGTGGGAAATATTCGTCAAGTCCACTTAACGACGACAACCAAGATAATGAGTCGACAACTTCATCGAATGCAAATAATGATGAAAGTGAAAGCAACGACAATACCATTAAAGGTGGATCATATATAGATCATAGAATGTATGATAACTTAGCACATATTCATTCTTCACCAGCTAGATCAAGAAGAAGGGGAGTTCAGTCTACTTCAGCCCAAGGAAATCTTGCTTCTAGAAGGCATACCACTTCAAGTGCGGAATATAATAATAAAAACCCACCATTTAAGAAACAACCTAGTTTACCTTTAACAAATAGAAACTTGCAGAATTTATTAGTTCAGAACGACAATAGTCCTGGTACTGGCTATTCGCCAACTGATACTCGATCGTATGGGTCAATTGCATTAGATATGGATCAATATGCGAAGGAACAACGCCAAATGACGCACGGATGGAATGATCCATTTAACGAGGAAGGCGATAGTCGTAGTGATGCCGGATCTATCAACTCGTTGGAGTTTGGTGGATCTAATCCTTCTTCTGAACATTCAAGTGACTCGACGTCTTTGGATGATGTATGCTTCCCTGATTACTATGATCGCGCAGATGGAAGAGGTGATAGGGAAGACAATTATGAGTGGCCAGATTTGAAAGTCTTGGAAGAATTCGTCCGTGAAGAATTAGATGAATACGCTGATTACGAAAAGAATGAAGATGGACTGGGTGATCATTTTAAAATGGATCAACAAATGGAAGATCAACATAATGTTAATTTCCAACAACCTCTCGCAGTGTCCGTTAACAGTCAAGCCGATGGTAAGAAAAAGAAGAAGAAGAAGAATAAACAGAAAACTCCACCTGATGAAACTGCGGAAAACACTCCATTATTGGAGAATGCTCAAATTAATGAGATTGAATCGATGAGTCTGGTGAATGAATCGTTTCGTATAAGACCAACACCGATCCAACCCTGGGAAAAATCGAAGGACCGGATACCAACTATTTTAAATAATCCAAACGACCCAGTAAGAAATCCTAAACAACAGACAAGCTTCAAGAATGCAAAACCCGATGGTAAATTATGCAGATTCACTTACTTTAGAGAAGATTTAAATAAGACTATACATTCTCCTACTATCAGTGGATTACTAGCAGATAGCATCAGCAATAAAGTTACGGAGGATAGTGTATCATTGGCAAAGAAATGGGGAAAAAATGCTAAAGACGAGAATAATGAATACGATGAACAAAACGAAGACAATGCTGAAGATGAATCAACTACTTTACGTGAATTATTTCTGCCTAGCTTTTATTCTCAAAAGGTATCTTCATCTTCATCAAGTGCCAGCATTCATGGAAGTCACCATACCCCAATGAGTTCTGGAACACCCGTTCCATTGACCGCATTAAATGAAGCGAATATCGGTGAAATGAATAAATTAGGAGGAACAAGCCTTAAGGGAACCAATTTGGAGCCTATTCCAGCACCAGGAACTATAGCCGGATCGGAAGTCCATCTTGATTGTAACCCATTTTGGCTTGATGTTTTAGATCCAACAGAAGAAGAGATGAAGGTATTATCAAAGACGTTTGGAATTCATCCCTTGACTACTGAAGATATATTTTTGGGCGAGACAAGAGAAAAAGTTGAATTATTTAAATCTTACTATTTCATATGTTTTACGTCTTTTGACATCGTTTATGAAAGACGCAGACAGAGGGCGAAAGAACAAGAGAAAAAATTAAATAAGTTGCAGGAAATGTACGAAAATAGCAACGATGGAAATAGTGTATTTGGCTCCCAAGAAAGAAAGTCGAAAATCTGGAAATTTTTTAGAAAGTTTGTTAAGGGGAATGAAAATAAATCGGCCAGCAATTTTCACAACACTAAAGAGTCTAGCTCTAACAAATCCAAGGTAAAGAAAATTAGAGAAGGCGAATTACTGCCATTAAACATGTACATGATTGTATTCAAGCATGCAGTAATTACATTTCATTTCTCTCCTACGCCACATCCTATTAATGTGAGAAGAAGAGCAAGGTTGTTAAGGGATTATTTGACTGTATCATCAGATTGGATTTGTTATGCGATCATTGATGACATTACTGACTCTTTTGCTCCGATGATTGAAAGCATTGAAGAAGAAGTCAACCTAATCGAAGATGCTATATTAAAGATGCATTCTGGCGATACTGATAGCGAAGATGACAGCGACGATGATTCTTCTGAAGACGAAACCGAAAACAACCACCATGTTGTGAACCCTACCAAAAACACCAACAATGTTTTCTACAAGAGAAAGAGATCCAAATCGACTGTTGATAACAGTGGATTCGGCTCGCGCTACAAGACGTACGCTCCGTTGTCAACAAAATCAGAGTCCAAAAAGTCATCAAAATCATCGAGCTCAAAGTCCACATCATCGAAGATACTAGGCTGGAAGCGTAAGGGTGACATGTTGAGAAGAATCGGTGAATGTCGTAAACGAGTCATGTCCGTTCTCAGACTTCTCGGTTCCAAGGCTGATGTTATTAAGGGATTCAGTAAGAGATTCAGTGAAAAATTAGAGGCCGACAATTTTAGAAACTCTCTGGGCTCGCCAAAGCTGGAGATTGGTATGTACTTGGGCGATATTCAAGATCATATCGTCACAATGGTCCAGTCATTAAATCACTATGAAAAATTATTGGCACGGTTCCATTCCAATTATCTTGCTCAAATTAACATTGATATGACTCAAGTCAACAATGACACCAATGATGTGTTGGGTAAGATTACTGTTCTCGGTACCATTGTGTTACCAATTAATGTCGTTACAGGTTTATGGGGTATGAATTGTATTGTTCCAGGACAGGACTACGAAGGTTTAGCATGGTTTTGGTCCATTATTTCGGGTATGATTCTTTTTAGCATTTTTGCCTACAATTACGCTAAGAGAGTATATGGCATATAAACCACCAATTGTACTAGTATTTATATATTTATAGCTATCTAAATGTAAGTGAAATTGCATTGTATGAAATTTAGAGTATATGCCGTACCGAATATATTTGACACGAAAGAACGAACATGAACGAAATGCCAATCCACCTTCTTCAGCTTTCTATTAGACAATTTACTAGCTAATTAGAAGTAGATAAGAATCACAATTCAAGAACAACAACAACATCATGAGTATTCAAATGTCCCTAGTTTTCGGTGCCTTAATTTTGGAAATGGTAACCTTATTGCTGATGGTATTACCATTGCCTCATCCTGTTAGGGTGAAGATCATGGATATAGCCACGTTATTAAGGAACCTGAAAAACTTCAAGATAGGATTTTGGTTTACTGTTATCTTATTGAGTATGCAATTTGCAGATTGTATCCAAAGGTTAGAAAGATTCGGCAATCTAGGTAATCCATACTTCGCCTTAAACTCCCAAAACAAGCAATTTGGGACGATGTCATACGACCAATTGGCATCCAAATTTTACTCGCAAAGGAATTTGTACATAACTGGTGCTGTGTTGTATTTAATGCTTGCGATCTATACCGTGAGTACCATTTTAAAGAAATTGGTCTCGAAAGAAACTGAATTCAGACAGCTAGCTGCGAATGAAAAAGAAGGAGCTTCTAAAATTGCCGGCGAAGAAGGTGACGAATCCAGTGAAGTTGCTAAATATAAGAAGTTAATTGAACAAAAGGAAACTGACATTGCTACCTTGAAGAAACAAGTAGGTGGTTTGCAAAAGTCCTACGATGACTTGAATCCATCACAAGTAATTGATAAGGATGAGTAGTCAGTTCAATTTTGCGTTCCTCGGGCTAGTGAGTTTATTGATAATACAAATAGTTTAGTAAGAAGAGATGCCATTTTATATGAAAACGTGAAATCGTTTTTAGTGTAGCATTCGTTAAGCGGCACCATCTGGTTAACTACAGTAGCATGTATGTATGCTATAAATTTATTAGGAGTTAGCATACCAAATAACTAAACAATAATACAACAAATACAAAAAAATTAATAATACAACTTTTAGTCTAAAAACTGACCAACTTCCATGTGTATCTCTATTCTTCCATAATTTAAACTCGCTTTAAAATTTCAATCAATTGACTCAAATGAGGGTCTTGGATAGTGTACGATTCTTTCCATTAACTCTCATCTATATGTTCTATTATATATCTTAATCCTTTTCTTCAGGCTTAGGTTTATCGTCTGTAGTAGATGATGTTTCGTTGGCATGACCAGCCTCAAGACTCGAAGTGTTTGGATCAGATGGTTGTGGTAAAGAACTATGAGATTGGCCCGATTGACCTTGTGTTTGAGGTAACTGTTGAGATTGTTGATGACCCGCTTGAGGTTGGGATTGTTGGGATTGTTGATTCACATAGCCGTAACCAGGATAAGCAGGTTGGGAATTATAGGAAGAGTAATTGCTTTGAGGATTATAAGGCTGATAATATTGGTTTGGAGCATAATAAGGTTGTTGATAACTGTAAACTTGTTGTTGACCAGGCTGTTGATGTGCTTGAGATGAGTGGAAATCACTTACGTTTTGTTGTGGTGATTGGTTCGAAGCTGTAGCAGGATCAGCACCACCTGCTTGTGGTTGAGGATATTGTGCATATGGAGGGTAATAGTTATTCAAATTCATAGTTGACGTACCAGCAGTTGACTGACTTGGGGTACTCAATTGGTTATTTGGAGCAGCAGCTGGTGCCGTGACACCAGGAGTACCCGACCCTGCTGCAGGTTCTGCTGATGCATTGTTGGCAGGAGTTACCCCAGTCTGAATAACACGCTTTATATCTCTGACAAATAACGGATATAATAAATCGACAATGCCTTCTCTCTGGGCCATTGCTAAGGCTCTCTCGAATGGGATCCAAACACCCTTTAAATGCATCGATCCGATTTTGACCACATGTCTAACTTTTTCTGATTTCAAAATACCATCTCTACGGCCTCTTGTCATCTGCGCAACGTTTAACAATTTCGTACCGTTAATCATATTGTTATCGGCTCTTCTGACAACAGAAACATTATTGGCGTCGACTTGGTAGCACAATGTCTTCTCGTCTTCCCACATGGTGGTGGTGACTCTTGGCCTAACGCCTGGGGGTTGATATTGACCCACTGAAGAATTATTTGACGAGTTAAGCGTGTCAGGAACGGGAGTATAGTTGGACGAATAACCGGCGGCGGTCTCGCCGCCCGGTGCTGGTGTGGTGCCATGATTATTTACATTGCTATAGTGCTGTGGTTGTGGTTGAGTGATCTGGTTGTTAATCTGCGGGATCGACTGTTGATAAACCGAATAATTTTGAGGAGGAGCCGCCGATGACGAAGTGGAGGCGGTCGCGGCGGCCGCTGTAGGTGGATAGTTCGAGTAACGGGAGTATGGGTAGTTCATGTCGTTGGACTGGTTCTGCGACTGATTAAATTGCATGTAGTACGAGTAGGGGAATTGCTGGGGAACGCCCATAGAGCTCAGGTACTGGCCCATGGCGCCCGCATTCACGGGTTGCGGTGGCTGCTGGTGAGGTTGCGGCTGCGTGGCCAACTGGGGTTGGTTCGATTGGCTCAGAATTGACGACTGGTTGGTACCATTAACCAACTGCTGGTACTGCTGCTGGTACTGATCCGAGTAGTAGTTCGAAGGGTACTGTTGGTACTGAGGCATGCTCGACGACCCTCGAGGGTGCTGCGACTGCAATTGTGGGTTCGAATGGAGCGGCTGGAGCGAAGGCTGCTGTTGAGCCGCCGATGAGGTCGACGTCTGGCTCGATGGTTGCGCCTGGCTCGACGGCCCCTGGGCCTCCGTGCTGGGTGTCCCAGTACTCGACTGGGACACCCCGGCTGGTCCATTGAAGCTCTGCCCATGATGACCCACGTACCCGCCGCTATTGGTGTGATACGCTGTTCTGTAATCCAAGGATTGATGAGGTTCTAAATTCGACATCGTCTGCGAGTTTCTGTGCGTTTTTGGTCCTTTCTAACTTCTAGTTGTTTACTGTTGGTTGTCTGACACTAAACACACGCTTGTTCCTTGTATTATTATCTACTATATTCAAAATAAAATACAATATTACCGTCTGGTGAAGAAAAGCCGTTATTAATGGAAGAAAAATAATAACAAATTATGTAGAGAAAAAAAAATTCACCTCGTTCGTCAAAATTTCTGCCATACAAAACGACGCCCGGGATGTTTGGTGACGAAGACGACGACGCCAATTCAACTCTACAGATCGTATAGCTAGTCGTAGGGGCCCCCTTAGGGGGCCCTTCTACGACTCTACAACTCTGGCGACCCTTCTGATGATTACCACGTACAATTATGTACCTTTAGTGCTTAGTACTGCCATACGTCTCGAAGTACATATATCACGCTACACCCATTATATTCTGGTTAGCCTATAGCATACATGCCTACGTGCTCCTCAGACTGTCTACATGTTCGCTACATAACGTACAGTGTTGCTACTATCGCAATTAATACATAATCGTTACAATTATACTTTTGCTTTACTTGCGCTTGCGCTGGTCTTGCGCTGTCCTTGCGATTGTTTGCTCGAAGGGGTATTGTGCCTATACGTGGTTTGTATACTGCGGATGACGTATGTGGGATATACAAAGTATGTGTGAGGTATCACATCTGAGGTATCACATCTGATTATCACATATGGTGTATCACATCTCATGTGTCATATATGAATATATAATGTGATACATCACACCACATATTACGAATCCTCTGTGATACACCATATGTTACAAGTCATATAAGTATCATAGTCTTACTGGTATAGTCGTACATGGTGATGGGCGGCATATTATTACGTAAGGATCGATTGCTGTGGTCACCGAAAAGTGCGAGGAGCGGTGCGACAACCGGTGCCGATCGTGACGAGCAGGCATATAGCGGTCAAAAGGCGGCCGGTGAGATTGCTGATAATTATAACATGGGATACGGCATGTATGGACGCGTGCAACAGAGTCGAAGCGAGGTGGTGGATGGAGCGCGCAAGTGAGCGCGCAAGTAAGGGCGCAAGTGAAGGTGGTGGAGGGCGATGGGTGACGCACAGTCGATCGATGGGTGTAATCTGGTATGATGGAATGTGAGATGGAATGTGAGATGGTGTGTGAGATGGAATGTGAGATGGTGTGTGAGTTGATGGATTTGATTATGTATGTTATGTGCGTGCTGTGCGATGGTTATATGGTGGTTGTACTTGTTGTATGATGTAGTATACATAATTTGATCGCTTGGTTATACGATTGTGCATCGTGTTTATTGTTTGGGATAATATATACTAGGGTGGCTGCAGGTATTTTTGCAGAGTGTATAAATTGTTTGCAGGATGCAAATGACAGGCTTGTGGATATGCTATTCCAGATTTACTTAGAACTTTTGTATGTATTTACTCGGATGGAATCGCATGCGTTCAGATTCAAGTATTCGTTCAAATCGAGTACGACTAATAACACAAGCTGATTTTATATAGCCGAAGCTGTAACGAGGGAGTCGAAGTGTGGTATGTCTGGGTGGTTCGTCTCGGTATGTCTTTAAAGCATTTGCACCCGATGCGATTTTATTGGCATTGTACTGGAATATAATCATAACAGAACGTACTGCAAACTCTTCACTTCACCTACATCTAATCACTAATATCTGTTATTATATCTTTAAATCTATGATCTAATCTCTATCTTTAAACTCTATGTACAGCGTCCTTCTCATCGACCTCTCCACAAACCATGCATTTTGTATACACATACCATCTCACACCTCCCCTCGATACAACTCCTTGATGATATTGCCCCCTATCACCGTCTCATCAACAATGCCCGCCACCTTCTCTGGGAACACCCGTCCATACCATATAGACTTCTTCGTCCTATCCAGCGGAAAGTAGATCACATTGCCGGCGTATGCGTGTCCCCCAATGTGCGACACAACCCCTACATCCACATCGAGTCCTCTGTCCTGTAGCGTCTTCTTAAACTGAGCGATTAATATGGGTGCAATTTTACCGCACCTAACGTCCCTCTGCGTGTGGCCACATACAAGAATTAGATCCTTCCCGATATCCTGTTCCTTGAAATCTATCTCCTTCTTCTCCCGAGTAATCGCTGTTGTCTTCTTGAATGGATTATAAACGGGCTCAAACTGCTCCATCTCTTCCTTCGGTGGCACTAGATACGTATGCATGAAGTCCTTCGTATCCTTGATATCAAACTCAATCATCTTATTGTCAGGGTAAAGATATACCTTCTCCTTAGCCCCCCGGGTTATGTTCGGCACTATCGCGTTAGAAATCATAATTGGATGATACGGAGATATAATCTTTCGCTTTAACAAATCCATTTCGTTGGTCAACGAATTCGGTAACAACTCGAGCTTGGATGGCCACTCGTCGGCATGATTGAAACCATGCGATAAAACCAACAAATGTTTCCATGGTATGACACTGGTCCCATTCAAATTCTTTTCAAAATCAATCGGCTTGTCTTTGGGCAATTCACTAAGTATGTTACATTCACACCCTCGTTCAATCGGACATTTCTCCACGAACTTACTAAGATATCTCCTTGCAATATTCATTCTCTAACTTGCCTCGTATTTATACATTCACCTTTCGTAGCCTTATTTTGAATATAAGTTGTTTTCTACTATCGAAGATTGTAATGAGATTCAATATCGGTCGGGCCGGTACCCGACCAAAGATTAACTATATTTTATATAATACATAAACTATCATTAACTATTGGTTAAAAACTCTTCTTTTAAAATCCACCCTTTACGAGGAGTATCCCACGTAGCGATCTCTCTTAACATTGATCGAACTAAGATCATGTCCTTCTCGTCGTTTAATTCCAATTTTAAATCGGTCAAGATATTGTTCGAGGTACTAAAATGATCATTCTGGTTTGCAAGAAAGCTAATCAATTTGTCGAGCGTTTCTTGTCTATCAAACTTCTTGTCATTGTTAGCTGATTTCTTAGCGAATACAGTATCAGATTTATTTTTTTTCTGCTTCAATTCACTTAAAATCGATGCTGACGATAACAATTTCGAAGAATTATCATTAGACGAGAGTTTCGTTCGTTTATTAACTTTAGGACCGAATTTACCGGCCAACCCAAACTTACCTGTCCACGTAGGAGTACCGATATTATTTTTCCTCGTGAGTTTTCTTGATCTTTTTAATGCCTCGGCCGCTTCTGCTGCAACTCTGTTCGCCTCTCTTTCGATAATCGAAACTTCTTGCTTTGACGAATCCATAATATCATCATGCTTCAACGCACTGTGAACTCCACTATTAGCAAATAATCCCTCCATTATCCTACTTTCATCCTTATTTCCATCTTGTTCACCATCTTTTTCCTGATTGTCACCCTCAAAATTGTCAAGTTTTGAAACCCCACTTATGTTTGCAACCTGATAAAAGTCATCATCATTCTTATGCTTAGGCTTGAATAACTTGTTCGACTTTCTGTCTTTATTCCCATTAAATTTGGTTTCAGACCCATTAAATAAATCGCCGGTTTCCGTCCCTACTTCATCTTGATCGCCCAATGAAAACAAGTCATGTAAATCATTAACTTTGAAAAATCTTCTTTGCTTAGGATCCTTTAAAATTTTGTTTGTCAAAAATGTCTTGAATATTTGTCTATGATAGATTTTTTCTTCGATCGACCCAGCAGTCATTAGTCTATAAATTGTTATATCTTTTTTTTGTCCCAATCTCCATGCTCTTTCTCTTGCTTGAATATCTGTTGATGGATTCCAGTCCGGGTCATAAATTATAACTCTATCAGCACCAGTTAAATTAATACCCAATCCTCCAACTTTGGTTGTCAATAAAAATACATGGTACTGCTTATCCTCATTAAAGGTGTCAACTAATGCTTGTCTTCTTCCAATATGAGTTGATCCATCCATTCTCAAATAATTAAACGTTCCACGTACCTCTTCACCATTTTCGTTTAGTGATGGCAAGTTTGTGACAAATTTTTCTAATATATCTAGCATCTGCTTGGTTTGACAGAACAACAAGGTTCTATGCCCTTGCATTTGCCATAATTGCAATAAATTTTTAAGCACTTGTAGTTTTCCTGATTTTGCAGGATTACCGTAGTTGTAATTCTTCCGACGCTGTAATATTTCCCTATCAACTAAATCAGGGTGGTTGCAAATCTTTCGTAATATATCAACACCCATTAAAATGTTTCTTTTACCTTTTAATATAGCGTGCAAATCTTCACTATTGAGGAATTTCTCATAAAGATCTTGTTGATATTGAGTCAATTTAACAAACAAAACCATTTCATTTTTCTTGGGGAGATCCTGAGCTACATCACTCTTTAATCTCCTTAAGAGGTACGGGGATATTAAATCTCTAAGTATAACAGCACACTTATAACCGGTTTGAACTTGAACATTCGACGCATTCGCATATCCACCCATATTGATAGGCACAGAAAATTGCTGTTCAAACACAGGTAAAGTTCCTAATCTTCCCGGAAATATGAAATCAAATAAGGACCATAATTCAATAAGATTATTTTGAATCGGAGTTCCAGATAAGATAATTCTATTATAAGTTTTAATTTGTTTGCATGTTAAAGATATGTCCAGATCAGGATTTCTTATCTTATGGCCCTCATCCAAAACCACATATCCCCATTGTCGAGGTAAAATATATTTAGAATATATTCTCAAACCAACATAAGTTGTTACCAAAACATGACCTTTCTCCATTACTGTATCTATAATTTCTTTTGCACGAATATGACTATTAATGCCTTTAAATGAATCATTTTTAACTGAACTAGGGTCAGTCGTTTCTAAAAATGCTTCAATTTTTTCTTCTGAATGGATTGCATTTTTACCCATACCTGACCCGATACTATGTAAAATAACACAACGCAACGGTGGCCACCATCTGTGAAATTCATTAACCCATTGATTCATGACAGTTGCCGGTACTACTACCAAGACTGGTTTTTCCAACAAACCAGAATAATGTAATCCAGCTAGGAATGAAATAATTTGAATTGTTTTCCCTAATCCCATTTCATCACCTATAATTCCTCCTGTCTTTTGGGAATATAGTTCCCAAAGCCATTGCACGCACGTCTTTTGATAATCAAATAAGGATGGATATATATCGCCTGGCAACTTAAATTTCGAGTTGAGTACAGCATCAGGTATTGTAGGATGCGGCTTAAACCATTCCTCCTTATCGTTCGTTTCATTAGTTGTTTCATTAGTTGTTTCATCTGTCTTTTTTCTAAGCTCAGACCTTCTTTTTACCCAATTTTTAAGCCGTATTTGATATAAATATTCATCCCCATCATCCACATTACGTTGCGTATCCAATTTCTTCGATTCTGTTACGACATCGTTTGGAGCACTATAAATATCGTAATCATCATCGACTACATTCTCATTATCTATATCATCTTCTTCCAGAGCATTCTGGTTCTCCTCAAGTGGGGAATAATCACTTTCGTTTTCTGAACCATGCATTTCCAGTTGCTTCCTCTTATTCGTTTCATTATACAGAGCAGGCGTAGCATTTTCTGTTGATCCATAGTCATAATCATCATCATCCTGAGTACTAACATTTGTATCTTCAAATCCTGGCGCCCTTAAAAAGACATGACTCTTGATATCATCCGAATCATTTGTCTTATCCTGGTGAAATGCGTTCTCATTCCCGAACGCAGTTATTTTACCTGTACGTATAAGAAAATCCCTTTCAGATTCTCCAGGTAACTTCTCATTGATAAACTGAGTTGATTTCTTTTGACTACCTTGATTTTTAGACTCATTTAGTTGTGATTTATTTTCGTTTAATCTATTCGTTATATCAACTATATCTTGCTTTAAAGGTTCTAGCTCATTTTTTTCAATCCAATCACATTCATCTTTAAGTGGTCTGCGTTGTGAAATCTTAGTCCTTGGGTTGGATAATCTATTCCTCAATATTCTTAATTTAGACAGGACTTTATTATAATCATTATTAGCTTTATCTAATCTCTTTTGATCTAATTCTGTATCTTTATTAATCAAAGCCTCATTGGCCTTCTTAGTTATATCATGCTCTAACTCATCTTGGTCAACGAACTTTACTCCTAATTGATCTAATGGGTTCTCTTCTTCTTCCATTTCTATTTGTAAGGTAATGTATCTTTGCTTAAAGAGATACGAGAAGAGATGATGTACAAAAAAATTGTCGCATTATGTGAATTATCTGCTCTATTAATAATACTATTTAAGCTCTATTGAATACTTGTTGTTGTAATTCATCTAACGATTCCTTATAGATGGATTCGTCATTCTCTTCGATTAGTTGCTTGGTATCAAGCTCAAGCTCTTCTATATTCTTTTCACTTCTACCTACTTGAGCCATAAGCTTCTTAAACCACTTGGCTTCACCTTTACCGAAACAGAAATTATATGCAAATCCCTCTTGATTAGCTCTAGCTGTACGACCAACCCTATGAACGTATTCACGAGAAGAATTAGGTAAGTCATAATTTATAACATCTGTGATCGATAGTATATCGATCCCACGAGCTATCAAATCAGTTGCAACCAAAATATTAATAGTCTGCTTAGAAAAGTCTTTCAATATTTTGGAACGCACAGATGTGGTGTTATTAGTTGAGTTAATGTATGCAATATTTATGGGCTGGGATCCCAATTTATTCATTATTAATGATAATAATCTAGAGAGTCTTAACGAGGCATCATTTGATTTCGTAAAAATTAAGACATTCGCAAGCTTGTTCCTTGAAAGTAAAAATTTGGATAATATTACTGGCTTTAATGAAGACTTTGCGGATCCGAATTGTAATTTAAATTCATTCAATGTAGCTGGTAAGCTAAACATCTCATTAACCAATTGTTCCTTATTATTAACGATTATTAGTCTTGGTTTATGGAATTTTAATAACGATAATTTCCCTGCATCGGTAGTTAACGTAGCAGAGAATATCATCTTTTGTACGTTTAACTTCCAACTATTCGATATATTCCTTTCTTTAATATTTGTGAATTCGTCTATTTTAGAAATCAAAATTTGACACCAGTTTTGGAAAGATTGATTAAGTAAACGATCGGCTTCATCGATAACTAAATACTGGAGGTTCTTCAAACTGATATAGCCATTAGTCAAATGGTCTACTAATCTACCTGGAGTAGATATAATAATATCTGGTTCATTGGTTTGCAATTTTATACCTTCTTCTTTAATGGATAAGTCATTTTTTAAACTGACAATTGATAAGTTCGTACCCTTAGATAGTTGATTCAACGTAGTTTTCACTTGGTTTATTAAAGGTTTCGTAGGAACTAGTATGATGGCTCTCACTCTTGCAACTTTTACATTTTGTAAACTTTCAATTATTGGAATCAGATACGCTAAAGTCTTACCCGAACCAGTTGATGCGTTGACTAATAAATCGCCTCTCATATCAGGTTGTAATCTATTTTTCTCGATATCCTTTAGCATTAAATTCAAGACTGAAATTTGCACCGAAAATGCAGATTCAAATCCCATATTCCTTAAATTTTTTATCATCAATAACGATAACGGAGGGTTTTGGAACTCAGTAAATGGTTTTGCTTCTTCTGGTGGTGCGTAGATCGGAGTTGTTAACCAGTCTAAATTGTTTAAATGTGCAGCAGTTGAGACTAATCTTTTATCTCTTGGTAATTCAGGTTGCGGCAATGGTGCCAAATCTTGCATTTCTATGTCTTCTTTTTCTTCGGGTGTTTCCTCATCGACCTCTTCACCTTTTCCATCATGTACTGAAGACTTGAATTTTTGAAAAACTGAGTGATATTTCGACATATATTTAGGATCATTCTCTATAGGTTCCTCTGGAGTATCTTCATCCTCCACAACATCCATTTTATCGTCGCTCTCTGGCTGCTTATCGACACGGCTTTTGGATTCTTCTATATCCTCAGAAGGTTCCTCAGTATCAGAGCTCATCGCAGAATCACCTTCAGAACTACTTTTGTTAGAGTCCAGAGACTGAGACTCAGATTCCGATTCAGACTCAGATTCAGACTCAGACTCACAACTAGAATCAGAACTAGAATCAGTACTGGAATCAGAACTGGAATCAGAATCAGAACTAGAACTCGAACTAGACGTTTCCTCGTCTTCACTTATAGATGTACTCAATTTTCTCTTTTTCGAATTCAAAATTTCATCTTTCACACCAGCTGTGTTTACACCCACAAATTCAGTTGGGTCAAACCTAGGAGCAAACATACTTGATAGCTTCTAGTATATCTATAGTCTTGCAAAATTATTTAGCACTCATCTCTCCATAAATTTTTATGAAATTGCGCACACCAACATCCGTTGGAAAATTTCAATACAACTTCGATATAAAGCTTGAAATCGGTCAACAGACATCGAAGACATATTAATATGAAGCCATCATTACACATATTGAAAGGTAGGTCCTCATGGAAGGGACCTCATGTTGTTCCATTACCAATAGCTAATGCTATCAAAACCGGAGTTCCTATTAGAACAAACGCAAGAAGTTGTACTGTTTTACCACAATTTGTTGGTTTAAAATTTCAAATACATAACGGTAAAGAATATGCTGAAGTTGAAATAACTGACGACATGGTTGGAAGTAAATTGGGAGAGTTTGCTGCTACTAGAAAGAGATTCACATACAAATTCTCGAAGAATTAAAGAAGTCCACAGGCAGGTAGCATTCAGGTAAGTTTTGTCGTCCATGAGCATCATTTACTGATTAAGAGTAGAGAAAAGTCTCTTTCGTTGGCATATATATATACATATATATGTCCTTGTAAATATAAGTTTAATATAAAATTTTTATTCAAATCTTTGATGTCTAGATAATGTTCTAATAAGTTATCATACCCTTTCGCCTCTAGGGCTATAATCTTTCATTCGTTCTTGTCTTAATTGACCAGTTCTATCTAAGATTGGCCAAGAACCCCACCCGTTTAGTCTGATAACTAAGCATGTTGCATTATCGTCACCACCAACATACTCCACAAATTTGACTACTTCTTCAGCACAAAGCTGTGGTGACGCTTTAGGGTGTCCTTTCATATTATAGTGCACCATGACAATATCTCCAATTTCTTGGTCGGTCAAGACGTCTGTTACACCATCGGTACATAATACTAGGAAGCTTTCGTCACCTCCTAATGCACCCACCGTATAATTTTTGATTTCGTCGGCAGTTAGTTGTTTCTTTATTGCAACATTATCACCAACAATTAGCTGAAACACGTCTGGTTCAGCGGTGACACCCATCTCCTTATAGGATACGTCACCAAACGCTCTAGTATTCGCTAATGCAATAAATCTTTCCTCTCCAAACGAATCGGTCATGAAAAAGTTTGCAGCATATTTTCTTAATCTTTTGGACTCTATTGGATTAGATGGGTGATGTGATTGAGTCAATGCATGGGCCTGTCCATTCTTGTCAACAAGAATAGCTCGCGTGTCGCCAACCTGGGCAATCGTAAGCTTAGATATCGTGTTTCTATTGAAATAATATTTTTCAAAGGATGAATCGGCCTCTGTAGATTCCGAGTAAATAGTCTCGAGAAATGCTGATGTACAAGTGGAGCCAGACTTGTCTTCGTCCTTGAAGAATTTATAGTCTGTTTCCAAAAATGACAAGGGCAATCTTAAACTTAAATCATCTTGAGTGTCCTTGATGTTCGTTAAGTTCATAGCATTATTTTCTGGCTGCATTGTTTCAAAATTAGCATCCTTGTGCTTATACCATCTCTTCCAGTAACCACCAATATTTTTCCAATATGACTTTGCGAGTTCGTCTCTGACACTTGAGTTATCTTTTTGGCTAAGTTCATTAGCATTTTCAATCTCTTGAGATAAATTATCTTTCAAAAACCTCGAACATTGCTCTCCTCCATGTCCATCAAATATATTGAAATTGAATACTGTTCTATCTTCTGGCAATGTCAAAACATTAGCGCTGTATTTATCTTCATTATACAATCTATTAACCCGTGAAGTGAAATGCCCAAAATAAGATGGGCTCTTTAATAATGGTACCCGTAGTTTTCCCAACTTATGTACCATATTCGAAGATCTTGGGTATTTCGATGACTTGTCAATTGCCGTGAATGCTATAACACCCGATACGAATCTTTTATTGCTCTGAGTACATTGATTGAAATTGTGTAACGGATGTGGAAATTTTCTTGGGGTTTGGATCATAGATATAATCTAAGCTATTTATTCAACTTCCTTAGCATACAATATAAGCAATTTACTTCTAAAATGTATACAAATCATAAATATTTTCATTATAGATGGAAGTATAGAGCCGTGTTTCTCGCAAAGGGGAAGTCAGAAAAATAGTAGTGCGGTATGATGAGCCGAATCAATTTCACTGTAAATAATATTTGATGAATAGAGTATATATTGATATATAAGCTAAAGTAAAATGTTATCAGGATCGTCTGGATCATCTCTATATTCCCTAGCATTATTTTGATTGAAAGTTGTAGCTACATTGGACCTAATACCGTTGATAACACCGCCTAGTTTACCCCATAAATTACTGCTCTGGAATCCAGAACCATTTAAATCGTTCGCATTATCTGGAACATCATCACTATAAGATGCGTCCACCCTTTGATTTGTAGGTTCCATCAAGGAATTGTTGAATTGTAATCTATTGTTTTCGTAATTTAGGTTTGCAGCATTAGTCAAATTAAATGGCCGTAAGCTTTCAGGACGAGACGAGCGTTGTTGTGATAATTTAAGCATTTCTCTGTTAATTATACGCTTTGCTTCAACAATGATTAGATCTTTGCGCTTATTACTGAGATTTTCAATGTCACCGTTAGGTTCTCCATTTTCATCGTCGTCAAAAACGGCCCATGAGTCGTACATATCAGATGTAAGACCCATTTTCTTTTTCAATTTGTCGTAAACATTGAAAACAGTTAGTAGCACCGGAATTAGCACAAATCTAGGTATCCAGTTATTCATGGAGTTAAACAAGCCGGTTAAATGAATTGACTTACCAAACCATGATTCAAATATTGAGTTACGGGACACAAATAATGTTATAAAATTGTACGACAAGGGAATAGTTAATCTGGCAATATAAGTAGTATAGAAA